AGCGTCGTAACTTTGAACGGTTGCTGAATGAATGGTTGTAAGTGGAGGATTATCTGGATTATTGCAAAGGAGAGAAGCCCAATAAACTTTTAAGGGACTTGTTGGAGGTCTCTTGATTGGGGGGGGGGGCTCATTCCATCCACCCATCCCTCCATTCATCCTCCCATCTTTCATCTATCCATCCATTCGTCCCTCCCCGTCTGTCCATTCGTCAGCTCATCCATCTGTTCGTCCGCCTGTCCATTCATTCATCTGTCCATTTCTCCCTCTCTCCCTCCCTCCTGTCCATCTGTCCATCCATCCATCCGTCCATCCCTCCCTCCCTTCCTATGTCCATCCATCCATCCCTCTATTCATCTGTCCCTCCATCCGTCTGTCTGTCTTTCCGTCCATCCCTCCCTCCATTCCATTCATCCATCCTTCTATTCATCTGCCCATCCATCCCTCCATCCCTACCTCCTTTCCTCTGTCCATCCATCCATCCATCCATCCCTATCCCTTCCTCTTTCCATCCATCCATCTGTCCCTCCATCCTTCTTTTTGTCTGTCTACCCATCCCTCTCTCCCTCCCTTCCATCCCTTCCTCCCTCCCTCCATCTGTCCATCCCTCCTTCCCTCCCTTCCTCTGTCTATCTATCTATCCATCCATCCATCCCTCTATTCATCTGTCCCTCCATCCGTCTGTCTGTCCACCTATCCCTCCATCCGTACCTCCCTTCTTCCATCCATCCATCCATCCATCCATCCATCCATCCATCCATCCCTCTATCCATCTGTCCCTACATCCTTCTTTCTGTCTGTCTACCCATCCTTCCTTCCCTCTCTCCATTCCCTCCCTCCATCCTCCATTTTTCCATCTTATCTGTTCACCCACCCACTTTACCGGCCTTACGTGACCATCCCATCAAATACCGCCATGCCAGACACGGTTGGAGCTGTCAATCAAAGGAGAGATCAAAAACACAGTTCGGCCTTCCTTCCTTCCTTCCCTCCCACCCACCCAAGCCTCCCAGCTTAACCCCAATTGTAGCTCAAAGCTTGGTGGACAAGAGTCAGATCTTCACATCTTCTCCAGAAGGCTAAAAGGTTAGAGACCCCCCGCCCTTGGATCTTAGGCGGGAGACCATTTCAATACAAATCTCTAAGGGGAGGGGAAACAAAAACAAAAATTGCAAGCTTTTTCTCCTCTCCCCTCGAAAAAAAAAAAAAGGATGAGGCGAAGGTCACCTTGTGGTGACTTTTCCACCTCCTCCTCCTCCTCAAAGGTCTGCTTTTCCCACGCATTCATTGAACTTACGCTTTCTTTCCTCCCTTCTTTCCTCCCTGTTGTCGCCCTCCACAGTCATTTGTCGTGCGTTTTCTTCTCCGACGCCCGCCCTCCCTCTCCCTCCCCAATCCCCGTCGCCCCCGGGGGGGGGGGGAAAGACACTATTTGAAGCCTTTCCTCTCCATGCGGAGCCGAGCGGCTCTTCCCCCCCCTCCCCCGGCAGCCAATCAATGGCAGCCTCTTCGGCCCCGGCAGGGCTCGGCGAACACCAGATCAATAAGTTATTAGCACCATTCTGTCAGCTGTAATGTGGAGATTGATCGGGACTGGGGCTACCAGCACGCCGCTTGGCACTTCCCCTGCCTGATAAAGATGACAGATTAAGGGGATTTTTTTTTAAAAAAAGAGGAATTAAGTCTGGTTGTCAAAGGCCGGCATGGGCAGGGGAGGGGGGGCAGCCCCGTGATTGAAGGGGGGACATTTCAGGGACACCGAAGGTGCCACCTCTGGGCATCTGCGGGCAAAGCTGGGTGTCTCTGGGGCAGCAAGGTGTGAAAAGGTGATGTGCCAAGGCGTAGGATTGGTGTCCTGACCTAGGCTTCCTTAGAAAGTATACAGCACAATCTTCGTCCCGGCAAACCTCTTTTATTCATACGGCTGTGAATTATGGTCATTCCCAGGCTTCTCAAGCAGTCTTTCAGGGAAGTGTTTACAAACACCCACCTTATCTCCCTTGGAAAGCTGCCAGAGGACTAATTGCCAAACGCTGGGCAAGGCCAAACTTAGCACAGAGTCAAACAGAGCTTTTCCAGAGCTTTTACCGATCAGATGAACGAACTTCTTCCTGCAAAAGCTCACATCCTGTTCGCTTCTCTTTTATGTCTTATGGGAGGGGCCAATCATCTCCAAGCCTTACTCCCAAGTCGACCCTGTTTTCTTAATTGTTCCTGTCTCCTGGAAGATCTGCGCCTGCGCACACTGGGAACAGGCTCCCGCTGTTCTTCTGCCTTGCTGCTGTCAGACTCCGGAGGCTGCACATATCTACCAGATGCCCTTGGCCCCCTCTCTGCCTCCGACGCAGAGCCCTCGTACGAGCTTTCCCAGCCCCCAGGACTGGCCCAAGTTCCTCCCCAACCTCCTGTCCGACCGCCGGTGGGCCACAACACTTTGCAACGCTGCTTTGGGATTGATGTTTTGTCATAAAACCAGTCAATGTTGCACACCTGTCCTTCTAAGCATCCTTAAGACAGGTGAGCGTCCACCATACAGGTGGTCCTGGACTTGCAATTATCACCGGATCTGGAATTAGAACCGTAAATCATGCTAATTATAAGTGGCCCGTGACCCTGCCTGATTTTACAACCTTTGTTGCAGTGGTTGTTAAGTGAAACCCACGTCGTTAAATGAATCCACTGGACCCAATAGGGTTTTTTGTGTTGTGTGTGTGTCAGGAACCAGAAATCAATCGCCAAATTGTTTCTTTCATTTGACGGTCTCTGATCTTTCAATTGCCTCGGACTACACCGCCCATCCTCCTTGGCAGTCAGGCAAGGGGCTCTTTTCCCTCTTGTTTTGGGCTCCTTTGTATTTGGACCCCCCCCAAACTTTAAATTATTTAAGGGGTGCCACCTGGTCGTAGACAGAACCCAGTCGGTGCGTTTTTTTACGTATTTAAAATCCTGATCGCGAAATCTACGCCGAATTAAAATAAATAAAACCTCATGCCAGGCCCAATTAAAATTCCATAACCTCCAACTTTGCACGCTGATTAAACGAGGCAGATTGTAGGGGAGGAGGAGAGAAAAAAAAATTCAAAATAACCCAATTTGCCCGTTTTAAAAATCTCTCTCTTCGTTGCACGCAGTGGGTCTTGCAAGTTGTGTGTCGGCGAGGCGAGGAAATATTTCCAGCCTCTTAACTCAGCTCTTCAAAAAAAAAAAAAACCCACAAGCTCATTATCCGGTGGCTGGGTAGGTGGTGGGGTTTCCTCGCATTATGGCAACCTTGAGGACTAGAATCTTGCTTTCTCCTCAGCAGAAAAACCTTCCCCCTTTCCCCCCACCCGCACCCCAAGGAGGCAGAATTCAGAATATTCCAGTTTGCACATCTATTGCTTGCTTTTGCTGGGATTTTTTTTTTGGGGGGGGGGGAGAGAGAGAAAGAAAGTGGAGAGGGGGGGGAATTCTCTGGATGAGAAGAGTCTTAGATGCCTACAAGGACGAATTCTTTTCGCGTGCTTTCAATTCCCGCTCCGGCATTATTATATGGAAGAATATTGATTTTTTTTTCTTTATTTTTTTTTATGTACATGGGAAAGGAAGGGCAAGGCGGCGTGGGAGTGAGGGGTTTCTGTAATTGTGTATTATATATTTTGCACCGGCTGGCAGGGATTGAGTTGAGACCCTTCCCCCCCAAAAAAAGGTGGGGGATTGAACTCACAGAGACGACGGAGGAAGATCAGAGAGTGTACATTAGTGGGTGTGTGTGTGGGGGGGTAATTCCCCCTTTCTGTTCCCCCCCCCTATTGTGCCCCCCCCCCCAGCTTCCCACCCTACTCAGACCCCCGCGCTGTTTTACATCAGGGCACAGGAAGCCTCCGGAAACGCAAGGGAGCCCATCAAATGATGCAGTTAAGTAAGGAAATAAAAGTAGATTTTGCAAATTTATGGCCGGGAGCTCTCGGCATCGATCAGCGCACCGAAGGATGGCTGGTGCGGGGGGTGGGGGGGGTTAGAGAAACCCGAGGCGGATGCTCCCAGCAATGAGCCTCCCTCGGGTTTTTTTTCCCCTCCGCTGGGTTGGGGTCTGTATTTGTCTGTGTGTGTGTAGGGGAGTGTGTGTTTGCAAGGCTGAAAAGGCTCACAGATTGTGGTGGGGGTGGGGAAACGGTGGGGGGGACGGACAGGGTGCATAATTGTGCATTTCCAGCTGAACAACTTCTCTTTTCTTCTCTTCTCTTCTCTTCTCTTCTCTTCTCTTCTCTTCTCTTCTCTTCTCTTCTCTTCTCTTCTCCCTTCCCTTCCCTTCCCTTCCCTTCCCTTCCTCTCCCTTCTCCTCTCTTTTCCTTTCCTCCCTCCTTCCTTCCTTTCTTTTACATTCCTCCCCTCCCCTTCTCCTTTCCTTTCTCTATCCTTCCTTCCTTCCTTCCTTCCTTTCTTTTTCTTGCCTGCCTGCTGCCTCTCACCTTTTCCCTTCCTTCCTTCTTTCTTTCCTTCCTTCCTTCCTTCCTCCTTTCTTTTACCTTCCCCCTCCCCTTCTGCTCCTTTCCCTTCCCTCTATTTTTCCCTTCCTTCCTTTCTTTCTTTTTACCTTCCTCCCCTCCCCTTCTCCTTTCCCTCCCTCCATCTTTTCTTTCTTTCTTTCTTTCTTTCTTTCTTTCTTTCTTCTTCTTTCTTTCTTTCTTCTTTTCTTGCCTGCCTGCCTGCCTCTCCCTTTTCCTTCCTTCCTTCCTCCCTCCCTCCCTCCTGCTCTCACCTTTCCCTTTCTTCTTTCCTTCCTTCCTTCCTCCTTCCTTCCTTCCTTCCTTCCTTCCTTCCTTCCTTCCTCTTTCTTTTACCTTCCCCCTCCCTTCTGCTCCTTTCCCTTCCCTCTTATCTTCCTTCCTTCTTTCCTTCCTTCCTTCTTTCCCTCCTCCCTCCCTTCCTTCCTTCTTCCTTCCTCTTTCCCTTCCCTTCCCTTCTCCTTCTTCTTCCCTTCTCCTCTCTCTCCTCTTCCTCTTTCTGTTCCATTCTAGATGAAGTTTTAGGCAAAAGGAAAATCTGTCTGCCTGGTAGCAACGGAGACTGTCTTTTGGAGAGCAAGAAATCTCGAAGCGAATCCCCAAAAGTGAGAAAAGGAAACTATCTTTACGATTTCTGCCAGGGTGGTGAAGTTGTGTCTGCTTTTTTAGGAAGGAAGGAAAGGAAGCAAGGAAGCAAGGAAGCAAGGAAGGAGAGAGAGAGAGACGAGGGAGGGAGGGAGGAAGGAAGGAAGGAAGGGCACTGAAAGAGGAAGGAAGAAGAGAAAGGGAGGGAGGGAGGAAAGGAGGGAAGAAAGAGACGAGGGAGGAAGAAAAGAGGAAGGAAGAAGAGACAGGGAGGGAGGAAGGAGTGAAAGCGGAAGGAAGACGAGGGAGGGAGAGAAAGAGGGAAGGAAGGAAGAAGAGAGATGAGGGAGGAGGAAGGATGGAGTGAAAGAGGAAGGAAGAAGAGACGAGGGAGGTAAGGAGGAAGAGGGAAGAAAGAAAGGAAGAAGGGAGACAAGGGAAGAAGGGAGGAAGGGAGGAAGGATGGATGGATTCATTCATTTCCAGGCTCCTGTCTTTGAGAAGATTTATTTTCAAAATAATTTGGAACTGTGTGTCAAATCCCAGGAGGGAAATTTGAACTTTGCGCAGGGAGAACGCTCTCGTCAGTGAGTCCAGCTGCAATTCCACTTGGATTGCTAGAAACACCGGGAAACACCGAAGGATGGAGGAGCAACACCTGTCTCTTAATCTCCCTAGATTTGGGGGGGGGGGGGAACTAGCCTCGTGGCATACCCCTTATTGATAAAACCGTGTTGGAAATTCCAGGATGATCTTAAACCAGCATTGTTGGCTTTTTTTTTTTTATTGTTTAAATGCAACCTACAATTTGCAATTTGCGCCCCTCCTTCTCCCGGCCTTTTGAATAACCCCCCAAAGGAGTTTGCAGAGACCCACTAAAAAGGTTCCCAATGAGTAGTGGCGGTGTTGTAGTTGCGAAGCTGTGTCCGACCCATCACGACCCCCACAGACCACATTCCTCCAGGCCTTCCTGTCCTCTACCATCCTCTGGAGTCCATTGAAGTTCACGCCGACTGCTTCAGTGACTCCATCCAGCCACCTCCTTCTCTGCCGTCCCCTTCTTCTTCTTTGCCCTCCATCATTCCCAGCATTCGGCTCTTTTCTCCAGGGAGTCCTTCCTTCTCATTAGGTGGCCAAAGGATTTGAGTTCCATCTTCAGGATCTGGCCTTCTAAAGAGCAGTCAGTCAGGGTTGATCTCCTCTAGGACTGACCGGTTGGATCGCCTTGCGGTCTCGAGTCTTCTCCAGCACCAGAGTTCAAAGGCCTCCATTCTTTGGCGCTCAGCCTTCCTTGTGGTCCAACTTTCACAGCCATCCATTGCAACTGGGAAAACCATAGTGAGTGAAAACCAAATGGATGGTGGGGGGCCCTTTTCAAACTTACCTTTGCCCTTTTTCCCCTTGTAAATAGGCAGCTGTCAATAACTCCAATCAAGGCTCCCTCCTGGCATGCTAATGATTTTATCCAAAGAGGACTTGAGCTCTTTCAAAAGGCCGTTTCTATAATTTTGATCTGCTCTGGATGGCAATTCTTGGATATTTTCTTTCCTAATTCTCCTTTTTCACCCCTTCCTCTTCCTCCTTTCCGTGCACACACACACACGCACACACACTCTCCTCCCTCCCTCTCTGTCTCTGTCTCTGTCTCTCTCTCTCTGTCTCTCTGTCTCTTACTCTCTCTCTGTCTCTCTCTATCTCTCTGTCTCTCTCTGTCTCCTTCCCTCTCTCTCTCTCTCTCTCTGTCTCTCTCTCTCTCTCTCTCTGTCTCCCCCCCTCTCTCTCTGTCTCCCTCTCTCTGTCTCTCTCTCTCTGTCTCCCTCTCTCTCTCTCTCTAACTCTCTCTCTGTCTCTCTCTGTCTCTCTGTCTCTCTCTGTCTCTCTGTCTCTCTCTGTCTCCCTTCTCTCTCTCTTGTCTCCCTCTCTCTTCTCTCTCTCTAACTCTCTCTCTGTCTCTCTCTGTCTCTCTCTGTCTCCCTCCCTCTCTCTCTCTGTCTCTGTCTCACTCTCTATTTCTCTCTCTGTCTTCCTCTCTCTCTCTGTCTCCCTCTCTATCTCTCTCTGTCTCTCTCTCTCTCTCTTCTTTCTGTCTCAGTCTGTCTCTTCCCCCCCTCTCTCTCTATCTCTGTCTCTGTCTCACTTTCTCTCTGTCTCTGTCTCCCTCTCTCTGTCTCTCTCTGTCGTCCCCCCCCCTCTCTCTCTGTCTCCCACTGTCTCTCTCTCTTTCTCTCTCTCCAGGCTCCCGTTGCATCCTCTGAAAAATTAATCAAGGTGATAGCAGTTTAATCTATCTCGCGGAGACGCTGAGCTTTAATCAGGCTTTCGTGAAACGCAGCCATCTATCGCTTTGGGGATCAATGCCACGCGTCCCCTCCCTTCCCCTCCCCAAACCGAAGTCGTTCCAGCCGCGCGCCCCCTCCCCTTCCTCAACTTCCCAATTGGCGTTGTGATCAATCACCTTGCCTGTCCCCCTCCCCTCCCTTCGTCCCCGCCAGCTTAATTATTTTATTTTTATCGATTGGTTGATTAAATGTTTACGCCTCCCCGACTCTTGGGGGAGCGAGGCTTTCGCAAATAAAAGATACACGACTATAAATTAATACAAGGATAAAAAAACAACAAAAAACAAAGGAGACGCGCACACAATCTGGATAACTCACGTTGTCCTTGCCTGGGTTTGCAATTTCAGCGAAAAAAGATTTTTTTGGGGGGGGGGGGTTCATCCTTGCTTTAAAATGGCGCCCTGGGGACCCTTTTGTGGCCTGCCTTGGGGTTGTGCGCCCCTTTCACCTACTATGCTGAACCTAGTTCCCGGAATAACCCACTTTCTGGATTTACACAGTCTCTAAACCCTTAGCCACAAATTAACCGAGATTATCCAAGTTTGGTGCGTTGCCCGAATGCAGCCATTTGACTTCTGGTTCGCCAGTTCATCTTCTCTTATTCAGCCATTGGTTGAGCTGCTGTGATGTCACAGAACAATCCACAAAGGCTCCGCCCACCACTGAAGAAATATCAGTTTTCTGAACGCGAGAAGTGAGATTGGCGAATGGGATGAAATTCTCAAATTTGGGTGGGGGTCGGTCACCGTGAGCCGTGTCGTGTTATGAAGCCCTAACTTTTTCCTGTTTTGCGTCTGATAATACTGTGATACACTGCTCCTGAACGGTGAAGCTCCACATCCCATCACCTTCATTAACTACGGCTCGACAGAACCTTCCATAAATAGTGGCCATATATATATATATATATATATATAAAAATATGTATATGTGTATATATATGTATGTTTTTCTCAGGTTTTCGCGGGTGTTTGTATGTAGGTCTTTGGTTATTCGGGTCTTCTCCCACGTAAAATTGGAAGTGTCTTGGCGACGTTTCGACGAAGTCTCATTCGTCATCTTCCAGGAAGCACGAAGCCGAGAACACCAGCCTGAAGATGACGAATGAGACTTCGTCGAAACGTCGCCAAGACACTTCCAATTTTACGTGGGAGAAGACCCGAATAACCAAAGTATACATATATTATTATTATTATTATTATTATTATTTTATTATTCCCTTCCATCTGCAGCAACATCCTTATTGCACTCAATGTCTTTTCTTTTAAAAAACTGAACATTTTTGCTGGAAGTCGGTGAACTCAGCTGGATTCCGCTCTTGAATCAATTCTGAGAAATCAATCCCATTTGTTTTGCGCATTCGGATCAATTCGAATCCCCCAATCCGGCCTGATTCGACTGGGGGACGGGGGAGGGGAGAGGTGAGGTGCCTCTAAAAAGCAGGCACGTAGTTTAAATTCGCCAGAAGCGTCGGACACGATCCAAACAGTTTTGAATCGATTTGGCCTTTTTTTCTGGTCGTGATCCACATTCGAAATCCATCCCGGTCTGATGCTATGGATCAGCCAACATGCCACTTGGGCTGACTCACCTTAACCAAGTTTCTCTGAGTCTTTTTATTTATTTATTTATTTTTATAATTTTATTCTTAAACATTTTTGAATACAGTGTATTGTCGGGGTATACCATTTACAAGGGGAGGGGAAAAAAAGGCCAGATAGAAAATAAGTAATAAATATTAACACATAAGTTTCTTTTTATATTGGCTTATTTACATTTTGTTAACGATAATGATTGTAGATATAAACCATCTCTATTTTTAATACAAGCATTCATTTTCCTCCTCTAATTTCTACCTCTTGTGTCTAACCTCTCAGAAAATCTATTCCATATCAAATAATATTTGGTGTCTTCTTTATCTTTTATTTTTCAAGTTAGTCTGTCCATTTCAGCACAATCTAAAAAATGTTCGAATTACTTCCTCATCTGATGGGGTGTTCTCATTTTTCCAGTATTTAGCAAATACCCTGTTTGCCCCAAAATAAGACATCCCCTGATAATAAGCCCAATTGAGCTTTTGAGCGTGTGGCAATAAGGCCAAGCGCTTATTTCAGGGTTCAAAAAAATGTAAGACAGGGTCTTATTTTCGGGGAAACAGGTATGTAAAACTAAATATGTGTGTGGTCCTTTTATCAAAACCCTCTGGTATTATGCCCAACAAATATATTTCTGGTTTCAGATCTATATTCCGTTTAATTTTCTTTTCCAGCCAGCTATGTATTTTCTCCAATATTTTCTTGCTTTGATACACATCCACCACATAGGATAGTAAGTACCTGCGATCTGATTGCATTGCCAGCATTTGGCAGACAGATTACCGAACATTAGTTTCTGTGAGTCTTTAAAACCATCTGCATGTGTTTTGCTTTGGCTGTTTCAAGCATTAAGCTTCTCGGCAAGAGCCAGGCAGTGATGCCAAGATGGTGTTTCCTGCCCATGTGCAGAGTTTCCTACGACTTTTTCTCTCCTCTCCTCTTCTACGGCATCTTTGGGCTGTTAGGAGCTGAACGTGTCAAACTGAGCAGAATATACAAGTGTAGAAAACACGCACGCCACAAAAAATTATAAAGATTTTTTCAGCGTGTCCTCTCGGCAGCTGAGAATTTGCAAAATGGGGTGGGGGAGGGAGAAGCTTTAGGCTCTTCCCCCTCCCCAACCGTCAAAGTGAGAATGGAAGGGGAATTGCCAAGTTGTCCGCCTTGATGGGAAGGGTGGGGGGCAGTTTCTCTCCTCCCCCCTCTGCTTTGCACCTGAAGCCTTTCCCCCGCGATGTGTTGACAGTAATTAAAAATGCCACACTCTCTTTCTCTCTCGGTCCTATTTCCTGCAACCGCTAGCTTATTACCGGAGGGGGGGGGGAAATGATTGTGCTCTTGAAACTGGACGGATTTTTCTTCCTCTCCTGCACACTTTCAGGCACACACAGCGTGTGCGCACACACGGATCCGGGGAAGGGGATGACAGGCAGTTGGTGCAATGGGCCGTTTTGTCTCCTGGGACTTTCGGGGTCGTTCGGACGCTGAATGTGGGTGGGCTTGTCAGTCAGTGGCAGGGGGTAGGGTAGGGGTGGGTACTGGCAGCGGGAAGGTTGAGGAACGGGGGGGGGTGAGTTCGAAAGTCTAGACAAGGTTGCTTCCTTCCCTGGGGTGAGGAGTGGGTTGCAAGAGCTGAGTCTTTTCTCTGCTTTGTTAACCCCTCCCTCAATGAACGGGTCTCCAAGCTGGTGGGTTTCCTGCCTGGAAAAGGGGGAATTTCTGTTGTTGGTTTTTTTTGTTTTGTTTTTTGCACAATGCAAGAAATGGTGAATTTTAAAGCAATAGCGATAACGCTTATATACCGCTTCATAGTGCTTTTACAACCCTCTCTAAGCGTTGGCTCAAGAGGGACGCAGTGGCTAAGACGCTGAGCTTATCGATCAGAAAAGTCAACAGTTCAGCGGTTCGAATCTCTAGTGCCATGTAACGGGGTGAGCTCCCGTTACCTGTCCCAGCTTCTGCCAACCTAGCAGTTCGAAAGCACGTAAAAAATGCAAGTAGAAAAATAGGGACCACCTTTGGTGGGAAGGTAACAGCGTTCCGTGCGCCTTTGGCGTTGAGTCATGCCGGCCACATGACCACGGAGACGTCTTCGGACAGCGCTGGCTCTTCGGCTTTGAAACAGAGATGAGCAGCGCCCCCTAGAGCCGGGAACGACTAGTACATATGTGCGACGGGAACTAAGAGGTTTACAGAGTCAGCCTCTTGCCCCCAACAATCTGGGTCCTCATTTTACCCACCTCGGAAGGATGGAAGGCTGAGTCGACCTTGAGCCGGTGAGATTTGAACTGCCGAACTGCAGCTGAAGTAGCCTGCAGAGAGCAGATCTGCTTAAAAATCAGACTTGGGTCTTGGGAAGCGTGCCCCACTCCATGGTGCTGGGGTGATCTCCTTCCCACTCTTCCTTTCTTCCCAATCCTTTCGCATGGAATCTCCTTGTGGCGTCTCATCCATCGCCGAACAAGGATTTTCTTGGTTTTTTTGAAAATCGGGAACCGTCAGCTCGGTCCCGCTTTGCTTACCAGCGGAAATTCGGCTACTGATTATGGTTCGTACGTTGAGGGCTGCTTGCAAGATGGAAAGCCCTCCGGTTGCGTTTCCAAACAGCCTTTGAATCCTTGACAATGTTAGTTTGTGGCCGTAAGTGAATTTATCTTCCCCTTCTGCCGCCTGGATTTTTCCATCAAGTTGCGGCTTTTCTCTGGTACCAAAACGGTAGTTTTAACGTTTTATACAAAAGTGATGTGTAAATAGCGTGAATTTAAAAACAATGATAGAGAGAGAGAGAGAAACCAAGGAGGCTTCCTCCAGCTAGCATCTTCCAACTCCCACGAACAGTTTTACTCTTTGCTTTGCAGTTGAAAAGCAAAGAGACGTTTAAACAGGCTGCTTTTGATATCCAGGTCTTGCTAACGGAGTCTTCTTTAATCAGATTTGTTGATAAAGAAAAGGCAATGGTGTTGCAGAAGTCTCGACAGCGAGATATGTTCCCTTGAGCGCTTAAATTCGGCTAGACTTATAATTCTCTTTTTAAAGAAGAGTTGGGGGAAAAAAAGATGCAGAACCCCGGACAAAAAGTCTTTCATTCATTCATTCATTCATTCATTCATTCATTCATTCATTCATAAATAAATAAATAAATATCCAGAAATAGTTAAATTCAACAGTCCTTCTGCTGCATCGCGTGCTAAAATGTGCTAGACTCCGTCGGTAGGGGATTTTGACACTCCGTAAAATGAGGCACCGTTCGTTGGGCGCCAAATCCTTTCCCGGGCCTCGTTTTCAACTCTTCGCGCCCGTATTCGGAATCCTGAGGACTAGAAACTTAACTCGGCGAAGGGAACACCGCGATGTAAAAAAATGGTGTTACATTGGTAAGAACCCTTTCTTTCTCGCTATTCATCCTTCCTTTTTTCTTTTTTTCCTTTCTGCCCCCCCACAGAAAACTCCCACACGCCCCTGTTGGAGGGCCCGGTGACGCAGATGACTCCGGAGGAAGATTACCGGCGGCTGATGTCCGCACTCAATGAACACAGCACTTTCGAGGAGCAGCAACAGCAACAACAGCGTCTCTACCAGTTGGCCGGCGGGATCTCCGTCCCGAGTCACAGCGGTGAGGATGGGGAATTCTGGGAGTTGAAGTCCGCGGATCTTGGAAAGTGCAACAAAGATGGTTTTTTGGGAGGCGGGGTTGGAGGCTAAAACATCCTGTTGGAAGAAATGTCCTTCTGGGTTCAGTTCCAAGTGGGGAGAAACATGCTTGGAAAGATTGTTTTTCATGGTGGACGGGATCACATGCCTTGAAGATCTTGGGTGAAGAGAAAAATAAGGGAAGAGACTCTGAGAGTGCCTGGGTTTTATACCCTCTCTGGGCTTTTGAATTCGAACTTGCATTCTGATTGGTTGTCAGACTCCCATGGGGTCATGCAGGGGTAACTTTGTAGGTTGTCTGTCTCCCAGGCTTGGTTGACTCTTGCTAGGTGATGATGTAATGAAAGGGCTTTGGGATTCCTCCTATGGCTCTGCCTGAAGAAGGTAAGATCTTTGTTATGTAGAATAGACTGGCCCAGGCCTTAATGGCCCATTAAGGGGGGGGTGAGTTTTTGCCTCCCTTTTTGGGGAAATATTCTGCCCTTTTAATATTTCCTAAAATATCTCATTTTCCTAGGAGACGGGTGGGTGCTGAGTTCCTACAATACGAAGGACGATGGCAGGAATTGGGTGTATCAAGTTTAGTGATAAGAAGGACCAGGGGGGACATGATACCACGGTTCCAATATTTGAGGGGCTGCCCCAGAGAGGAGGGGGTTCAAACTATTTTCCAAAGCGCCCGAAGGCCAGACGAGGAATAATGGATGGGGACGGAGCAAGGAGAGATTCAATCTGGAAGTAAGAAATATTTAATGGATCAGTGAACAGCTTCGGAGGTTGTGGGTTGCTCCATCCCCGGAGGCTTTTAAGAAGAGATTGGACAGCTGTATTTGTCTGAAATGGTACAGGTTTCTTGTTTGAGCAGGGGGTTGGACTAGAAGACCTCCAAGGTCCCTTCCAATTCTGTTATTCTATTCTGTGAAAGTGGCCAAGTTTTGGGGAGGGGAAAAAATTTCTGTTTAAAGACTATAAACGCTTCAACACTGGTTATTTTGTGGGTCTGATTAGGAGTGGTGCGGTGGCCTAGAGGTGGAGCTCTCGCCTCGCAATCAGGAGGCTGTGAGTTCGATCCTAGGTAGAGGCAGATATTTCAATATTGCAGAATATATAATGGTGGTATATATATATATATATATATATATATATATATATATATTATATATATTATATATATAATAATATAGTGATGGTGAACCTATGGCATGCATGCCAGAAGTGACATGCACAGCCATCTCTCCAGGCACGCGTTGCTGTTCTGGGTTCTGGCCAGCTGGTCTTCACGCACACGGGAGTGCCGGAAACCGGAAGAGTGTCCACCGCCCGGTGTGCACGCACGCACCAGGAAGATGATCTGGCTTCCAGCTCGCACATGCTCACCGGACAACTGTCCTTCTGGTTTCCGGCAACCGTGCACGCATTCCCGTTTCGGCATTCGGTGCCGAAAAGATTCGCCAACACTGATATAGGTTGAATTAAAACTCCGCATTGGTGACAAGAAAGGCATCCGGCCAGTAAAACAACTCAGCTGCATTCAGTTGCCCAGACTCCACCCTGCGAAGGGATTATGGCAGAACCTTTTTGCCATTGTGTGCCAAAAGTGGGGGAGTGCAGGGGGGGTCGCACTCACATGTGCCCACACCCATAATTCAGTGCACCCCGCTCCCCCCACGCAGGCATGCGTGACACCCCTGCAGTCCCCCCGCTTTTGGCACGCGATGGCACGGTGGGCCCAGTAGGCCCATTTTTCGCCCTCCCCAGGCTCCAGAGGCTTACTTGGAGCCTGGGGAGGGTGAAAATAGCCTTCCCCATCCCCCCGGAGGCCCTCCGGTGGCCGGAAATGGCCTGTTTGCTGACTTCCGGTGGGACTGGAAGGCCCATTCTTCGCTCTCCCCAGCCTCCAGAGCCTTTCTAGGAGCCTGGGGAGGGCGAAAATACCCTTCCCCTCCCGAGGCCCTCCAGAGGCCGGAAATAGCCTTCCAGTGGGCCCGGAAGGCCCGAAAATCAGCTGAGCTAAGGCAACACTCGTGTGCCCACTGATATGGCTCTGCGTGCCACCTGTGGCACACGTGCCATAGGTTCGCCATCACGGGATTATGGGGTCGTTTAAAAAAAAAAAAAGATGATAATGATTTTGGGGTCTGATTGTAAATCCAGGATGGCCACTTCTGAGCAGTGCAAAGTTTTTGTTTTTTGTTTTGCTCTTATCGGCTGGAAGATGTTTTAATTCACCCTCGGTGCTCGGAGGGTGCCCGCTGGGGGAGCGAGGCTCAATTATAAATGGTATTTCTGCCAGGCGAAGCTCTTGATGATATGCAGGCGCCCACCGGTGGCACCAACTCATCTTTAATTATTTAGGGTTTTTTTTTTCCCCTTTCTTTCTTTATTTGCGGCTTTAATTGCGGCGTCTGCTTCTTCCTCCTCCTCTCCAACTCGCCCCCCCCCAGCCTAATTCCACATTTCCCTCCTTGTAAATAGGCTTATAAGCAGCTATAAGGGATTTCCCCCTCCCTCCTTTATATTTTATTAAGCTTGCATCAAAATAAAAACACAGAAAACCTTCTAGAGCAGTGATGGCTAACCTTTTTGCCATCACGCGCCAAAAGCGAGGGTCGCGGGGGAGGGTTGCGCCCACGTGTGCCCACACCCGTAATTCAGTGTGCCCCCCCCCATGCATGCGCGACACCCCTGCGCTTCCCCCAGTTTTGGCACACGATGGCATGGTGGGCCCAGTAGGCCCGTTTTTCGCCGGAAACAGCCCGTTTGCCGACTTCCAGTGGGACTGGAAGGCCCGTTTTTTCGCCCTCCCCGGGCTCCAGAGCCTTTCTAGGAGCCTGGGGAGGGCGAAAACGGCCTTCCCCAGAGGCCCTCCGGAGGCCGGAAATAGCCTGTTTCCTGACTTCCACTGGGCCTGGAAGGCCCGAAAATCAGCTGGCCGGCACACATATGCTTGCCAGAGCTGAGCTAGGGCAATGCTCGCGTGCCCACCGATATGTCTCTGTGTGCCACCTGTTTGCCATCACGGTTCTATAGATTCAGTAGGCAGAGTTTTCGTTCGGCTAGCTCACATCCCAAAGGCCAGCCGAAACTCTTCTCATTCCTTTCAAAGCCCCAAATTTGGCCTCTCTTGCGGTGTGAGAGAGATTTGGCCGCGGGAGCCTTGAATTCGTATATGGAACTTTGCACACGCTCAGCGGCACTCTTGACCCACCGCGAAAAGAACGAGCTGAATTCGCCGGCAAGCCTAATCTTGGTTCCATTTGATTCCACGAGGGTTTGCGATTGACTGATAGCGGATTTTATTCCTCCCGGCACAGATATCCTCCGAGCGCGTCAAGAGGTCGCCTCGCGAAACCCCGGCGGCCTAGAGCCTCACCTTCCCTCGGCCAGCAACTCGTCCAGCCAGCGCAGAAAGCAGGGGCTTCCTCAGCACCGGGATTCACACTTCAGTGAGAGGTATCTCGACGCCGTGCCCATTCTTACCTTCGTACTGGCGGTCCTCGGCTTACGACTTGTTTAAGTGACCGTTCAGAGTTACGACGACGCTGAGAAAAGTGATTTACTTAAAAATCGTGATGACCTGCTGGCTTCGGCAAGTCTGTGGGGAAGGTGGCGGGGAAAGGCCACCAATCATCATCTTGCAATGTGTCGCTTAACGACTGCATAACAAAAAAAAACCCATCGGTTAAAATCAGGCGCGGTCAAACCACACCGGTGAACAATAAGTTTTCTGGTTCCGGTGGCAGTCGTAAGTCGAGGACTGTCTCCTTCGCTCTTTTGCAAAACTGGGAAGCCGTGCCAAGGTCTGGGGCTCAAACAAAAGCCAACGGCAGGCAGGGAGATTTATGGCGTCTCCCTTTCTCCGGGAGGGGGGGGGGAATGGACATTGGGGGGGGGTTTCGGGGGGGGCCCTGGAAGCCGCTTGGCGTGGTGCTAAAATTCCATTTCAGCTTCCTGTCGGACTCCGCAGGGATTCGATCAGCACAGGGAGGCCATTGTGGCAGGAAGAATAATTAGCTGTTGAAAAATTCAGCCGGTTGCTGGAGGCAGCTGAGAAAGGAGAGGAGAGGCAGGAGGGGGAAAAGATCCGTTTGCAGCCTTGCGGATGATGGGATATGGATGGGGGATCCCTAGCTGAGGAAAGGGGTTCAAAATTGGCCCGAGGAAGCAGGCAGGAATGGCCCAGGTTCAGCGGTGAGGATGGGAAATTCTGGGAGTCCACCCGTCTCGAGACTTTGGAAAGAGTGCAGAGAAAAGCCGCAAAGATGATTTTGTGGGGGGGCTGGAGGCTAAAACCTAACGTAGGACGATGGCAGGAATTGGGTGTGTCTAGTTTAGCGATAAGGGACGCGGTGGCTCAGCGGCTAAGACGCTGAGCTTGTCCATCGAAAAGTCGGCAGTTCAGCGGTTCGAATCCCTAGTGCCGCGTAATGGGGTGAGCTCCCGTGACTTGTCCCGGCTTCTGCCAACCTAGCAGTTCGAAAGCAGGTAAAAAATGCAAGTAGAAAAATAGGGACCATCTTTGGTGGGAAGGGAACAGCGTTCCGTGCGCCTTTGGCGTTGAGTCATGCCGGCCACATGACCACGGAGACGTCTTTGGACAGCGCTGGCTCTTCGGCTTTGAAAGGGAGATGAGCACCGCCCCCTAGAGTCGGGAACGACTAGCACCTACGTGCGAGGGGAACCTTTACCTTTAGTTTAATGAAAAGAAGGACTAGGGGTGACATGATAGCGGTGATCCAATATTTGAGAGGTTGGCCACAAAGACGAGGGAGTTGAGCTATTCTCCAAAGTCCCAGAAGACGAGAAACGATGGATGGAAACTAACCGAGGAGAGAAGCAACCTGGAATTTAAGGAGAAACTTCCTAACAGCGAGGACAATTAACCAGTGGAAGAGAAGTCGTGGCTGGTGCTTCATCCCGGGAGGTTTTTAAGAAGTAACTAGACAGCCACTTATCTGAAGTATGGTATAGGTTCTCCTGCTTGAACAACAGGGGGCTGGACTAGAAGACCTCTTAAGGTCCCTTCCAAGCTTATTCTATTCTATTTTAAGAAAAAAAAGGGGGGGAAACCTGTGCTTTTCTACTTTGTTGGAGAGTAGAATTGCCATCGTGGTTGAGCCTTATGGGGGTTGTGGTTGACCCATGAACATTGGTGTCCGAGGTCTGCTCTTAAATAGCCTGCTTTTTTTGGGGAGGGGGGGGGGGGGGGCTGTGTTGTTCGGTGAGAGCGACGTCGGGGTTAAAATGCAGCAGCGCACCGGGTGTGCCTGCTAATGACTTAGAAACATCGATTAGGTGCAGGCCATTAGTGCGTATTGTTAAAGAAAAAGCCAATACTTTTAAAGCTCAGCAAACCATTTGTCTCCTCTTAAAGGACATATCAAATTTAGCCACGGCGGGAGTTAAGATCCTCTAATATCTTTGCAGGCAGGTTTGGGAGGGGGGGGGAAACGATACGGGAGGGGGGGAGTATTTACTCGCGTGCAAACACGCAAAGCCAAGCGAGCGCCCATTATAGAAAATCGTATCGATCCCTTTTCCCTTTTTAAAAGTTGATTGATTTATTTTTTAAAATATATTTTTTGGAAGACTGATCTCGCATTGGCTCCCGGGGCTACAAAAGGGCAGAACTCGTGGTCCGGAAAAGCAAAGAAGACCTCCTGGCCGAAAAGCAGGGGTGAAATGCTCCCGGTTCGGATCTGGTAGTGATGACGGTGGGTGGTTCGGAGAACCGGCAGCAAAAATCCCTGCCCCCCCCGCTGCCCATGCCCAGCTGAGCCACGCAATTATCAGAGGCTTTTTTTTTACTTTTAAAAGCCTTTTTTCTTCGGCTGAAAAAATGCTTTTAAAAGTTAAAAAATACCCCTCTGATGATCGCGCGGCTCAGCTGGGATCGTCAGAGCCTTTTAAAAGCATTTTTTCTACAACCTCTTCCGCCGAAGAGGTTGCAGGGGAAAAAAAATGCCTTTAAAAGCCTCTGACGATCCCAGCTGAGTTGCCTGATTGTCAGAGGCTTTTCAAAGCCTTTTTTCTACGACCTCTTTGGTCGAAAAAATGCTTTTTAAAAACAGCCTCTGATGATTGCGTGGCTCAGCTGGGATCATCAGACCCTTTTAAAAGCATTTTTTCTACAACCTCTAAAAAAATGCTTTTAAAAGGCTCTGACGATCCCAGCTTGAGTTGCCTGATTGTCAGAGGCTTTTAAAAACATTTTTTTTATACAACCTCTTCGGCTGAAAAAATGCTTTTAAAAGTAAAAAAAAAAAAAAAAGCCTCTGATGATCGTGTGCCTCAGCTGGGATCGTCTGACTCTTTTAAAAGCATTTTTTCAAAATGCTTTTAAAAGTTTTTTTTTTAAAAAGTTTGCCACACCCACCCAGTCACATTACACCCCCCCCCACCAAGCCACGTACACAGAACCGGTAGTAAAAATTTTTACATTTCACCACTGCCGAAAAACGTAGGAGTTTGAGGGTATTTTTAAGGGGAGAGAAGGGCGAGAGAGAGAAGTCCATCTGTTTGGCTATATAGTTGGTCTAGAGTTATGGGGGGGGGGGTGACACCCCCTCCCTGCAAAGAAGATCAGATTAATACCTGCAGTGTGACCGTAAATCTTGCCCCCCTCCCCAAGGCCCGCTTAATCCTTGCCAAGTAACGTCAGCAGCTCCTGCCAGCTCAGCTGCCCGTAAGCAGATTGGCCTGGGTGACACCGGATTCTCAAGAGCCCTTTGCCAAGTCTGAATTAACCCGTTTTTCGTGCCTCTCCCTGGGAGGGGAAATCCTTGCTTGGGGAAAGGCGGGGGGGGGGGGGGGGGGGAGAAAAAAAACCCATATTCTACAAACTTTAAAAAAAAAAAAAGTTTCCAACCCTCAAAATCTGTTTCTGTCATTTTCTTGGCAGATTTTGGGTTTTGGCTGATGCAACTAGGGTGATGAGGGCTAAAACATATGAAGGAACAGTTGCAGGAACTGGGCCTGGTTAGTCTAGTGAAGGGAAGGACCAGGGGAGACAGGATAGCATCTTCCAATATTTGAGGGGCTGCCCCAGAGAGGAGGAAGGGGGTCAAGCGATTTTCCAAAGCACCCGAAGGCCAGACAAGGAACAACGGATGGAAACTGATCAAGGAGAGAATCAATCTGGAAATAAGGAGAAATTTTCTGATAGGGAGAACGATCAACCCATGGAAGAGAAGTTGCCTTCGGAAGTTGTGGGAGCTTCATTCCTGGAAGCTTTCAAGAATAGACGGACTGCGATTTGTCAGAAATGGTGTGGGGTCTCCTGCTTGGGTGGGGGGTTGGACTAGATGACCTACAAGGTCCCTTCCAACTCTCATTAATCTAATCTAATCTAATGTATTTGAGAAGGGCCTCTGTGCCAGTAGCGGTCGTAAATGCAGGTACTCCTCGATTTAATGACCATAATTGAGCCCAAAGTATCTTATCTATCCATCCTACCTTCCTACCTACATCTGTCTTTCTTACCCTATCTATGCATTCATCCATCCATCCATCTCTCTCTATCTATCTCTACCTACCTACATACTACCTATCTCTATCTACCTACCTACCTACCTACCTACCTACCTACCTACCTACCTACCTACCTATCTATCTATCTATCTATCTACCTACCTACCTACCTACCTACCTACCTACCTACCTACCTACCTACCTACCTAAACTATCTCCTACCTACCTACCTACCTACCTACCTAACACCTTAACTAACTAACTATCTTATCTATCTATCTATCTATCTATCTATCTATCTATCTATTTATCTATCTATCTATCTATCTATCTCTACCTACCTACCTACCTATCTCTAAATCTATATTTATCTATCTATCTATCATCTATCTATCTAGATCTGTCTTTATCTATCTGCATCTGTCTTTATCTATCTGCCTCTATCTATCTATCTATCTATCTATCTATCTATCTATCTATCTCTAACTGCCTGTCTGGCTGCCCACCCACCCACCCACCCACCCCCCCATCGCAATAGCCCTTAGCCCTATATACCGCTGGACAGCGCTTTCTAGCCCCTCTCTAAGCAGTTTACAAATGTCAGCCCCTTGGCCCCCAAAACAATCCGGCTCCTCTTTTCTCCGACCTCGGAAGGACGGACATCCGAGTTCAACCTTGAGCCGGTCAGGATGCAGAAAATGAGGTTCAACCTGAGTTAACGCGATCCGGTGGGAAGACGCGCCGAGGGGTGGAAATTGGGGAGAGAGGCCAGCCGAAAGACAGGGGTAGGCGGGTGGGTCGGTGGGCTAACCCAGCCGCCTTCCCTTTTGATGCCCCTCTGCAAATTTCCCTGCGGCCCCTTCCTCCCTCCCTCCCTTCCTTCCTTCCTTCCATCCACCACCACCCTTCCTCGCCCGGCGCAGAAGGTCAGCCAAGGGCCACCGGGTCTGCTTAATGGGCAGAGCGGTTAAATGCCACTTGATTTCCCAAATTGGTCCTTACCCAGCAGGTGGCAAGGCTCTTCCCCCACCCCCTCCTCTCGTCTCCCTGTGATGATTACAGCTAATTACGATCAGGACCGGCTCCTCCTCCCCCCACCACCCCTGTCCCCCCCTCCCCCTAGCTTTAATTGTCCGTTATTCATCGGCTCAGCTGTCTGTCCAGAGTGGGGGAGCGGGGGTGGGGGGAGCTTGGCAGACCCCGGTTGGTCCCCGGTCTAATTGCAAGGCCAGAGGAATTAGGTCCGGTGATTACACCCTTCATGCTGTAATTACATCAGCATCGCTCGGCTCGCGGCGCCCAACGCTTAAGCGCCCCCGAAGGTCATGCGCTGCGTTACCTGAGATTAATTGGCGCTGCCAGCCAAGTGCGAGGCTCTGGCGGAACAGTTATGCGATTAGCATTAACATTTCAACAGCCGCCGATCGATCCAGCCCCAGCCTGACTGGCCCGGCCGTGGCTGTCTTCCAGACACACCGGGAGCTGTGCAATTAGTTTAGACGAGGAAGGGGGAAAGGGGGAGGACGGGGAGGGGGAGGCCCTGCAGAGGCAGACGGGAGGGGAGGGCTTGGAAGGGGAAAGACAGATGGGTCGAGAGGAGGGGAGAGGCGTCCTTGCAAGCGGGATGGTTTAATGCACGTTTGCAGATTTCAATCCCGGCCTTTTCGATCCCTTTTGGCAAGTCTTAGAAGTGTTGCGTGCGGACAAACGACGATCGGGGGGGGGGGGGGGGGGGGGGGGGGGTTTGTGGTCTTGCGCTGGCTTTGCCGCCCCGTGTGCTTCTTCGGAAGCACCCTGCTAGCTGTTGGCATCCATCGAGGACCCAAGTTGTTTGGGGGGCTAACTAACTCTGCCCGCTGCCAGCAGTTCGATCCTGACCGACTGGCTCCAGGTTGACTCAGCCTTCCGTCCTTCCGAGGTCGGTAAAACGAGGACCCGGATTGTTGGGGGGCAAAAGGGCTGACTCTGTAAAAGGCTTAGCGAGGGATGTAAAAGCACTATGATAGATTTTTACCCCAAAAGTTTTTTATTAAAATAAATTCGATAAAAATCAAAAAAATCTGATTTAAATAAAAAAAAATCCAAATTTTTTGATTTAAAAAAAAAAAATCATTGATTTTTATCCACCCTGGTATGGGAGCAGTCTCTGTAGCGGACATAAAAGCTCTACAGAGAATCATTAAAACTGCCCAGAATATTATCGGACTCCAGCTACCAGCCCTGGACGACATCTTCGCATCTCGCTGTTTGAGGAAGTTGCATAACGTTCTCGGAGACTCTTCCCATTCTGCTTATCATCTTTTTGGACTGTTGCCTTCTGGCAGAAGATGCAGAACGATTAAAACTCGGACCGCACGTCTTCCGAATAGTTTTTATCCCAGAGCTGTAATTGCACTCAACCATGAACTCATGGGCCACCATCAGTGAGCTGTTGGACGGCATGACTTGGTCTGTCGTGTGGATGTTTGGGTGGTTTAGGGGTGGGGAATTTGGGGTGGGTGGGAGTGTGTTTGGGGATTGTTATGTCTGTTGGACCTGGTCTTTGGGTGTTAAGTGAATTTCGTTGAATGGGTATACTGTGTATACACCTACAATGACAATAAAGTTTGTTTGTTTGTTTGTTTGTTTGTTTATTTATTTATTTATTTATTTATTTATTTATTTATTTATTCAAATAATATTGATGTTTCTATATCTTCCGATTTTCTCCTGTCGCCTCCTTTTTCACTTTCTCCTCTGTGTTTCCTCTCTATAGGGAGATGTCCCACCCGCCACCTCTCCTGTCGCCCCAGAATGCTCCCCACATTGCTTTGGGGCCTCACTTGCGACCGCCTTTTCTGGGGGTGCCCTCCGCTTTGTGCCAGACGCCAGGTAAGAGGGACACCGACACACACACACGCACACACACACACACAGAGTGGGGTGAAAGGGCCTTGAGGGGAGGGGCTTGGTGGAGGGAGGGAGAACGGAGGCTTTAAATTGGGAGGAGGAAGCGGGGGAGGTTCTTTTTTTGCTTTTTTCCCCCCCACCCTAAGGGCCATTTGAGGGAGGGGGGGAAATACACTGGAAGGAGGGGAGGGGTGGGTGGGGGAGGGAGGGAGGGATAAGGGAGCCTGAGAATGTGGGGTTCCCCCCCTCCTTCCTTCGCTGTGCTGCTTCTTTTATTAATTTCTTCTCTCGGTGTAAGTCTGCTCCTTCCCCCCCCGGCCTCCCCTCCAGTTAATGCAGTCCATTAATTAATTAATTCATTAATTAATTAATGAGTTTGCTCATTCTCATTCTATGTCCTTCGTTTTTTCTTTCTCTCTTTCCCTCTGGTGTCTTCCTTCCTGCCTTCCCTCCTCCCACCCTTATCTCTCTTCCTTCTTACTCTTTCAGTGTCCTTCCTTCCTTCCTTCCTTCCTTCCTTCCTTCCTTCCTTCCTTCCTTCCTTCCTTCCTTCCTCTTTCAGTGTCCTTCCCTCCTTTCTTCCCTCCTTCCTTGTCTCTCTTCTTCCTTCCTCTTTCAGTCCTTCCTTCCTTCTTCCCTCCCTCGTCTCTTTTCTTCCTTCCTCTTTCCTTCCTCCCTTCCTTCCTCCCTTGTCTCTCTTCTTCTTCCCTTCCTCCGTCCCTCCCTCCCTCCCTCCCCTCTCTTCTTCCTTCCTCTTTCAGTCCTTCCTTCCTCTTTCAGTGTCCTTCCTTCCCTCCCTTCCTCCCTCGTCTCTTTTCTTCCTTCCTCTTTCCTTCCTCCCTTCCTTCCTCCCTTGTCTCTCTTCTTCCTTCTTTCCTCCCTTCTTCCGTTCCTCCCTCCCTCCTTCCCTCCATCGTCTCTCTTCTTCCTTCCTCTTTCAGTCCTTCCTTCCTCTTTCAGTGTCCTTCCTTCCCTCCTTCCCACCCTCGTCTCTTTTCTTCCTTCCTCTTTCCTTCCTCCCTTCCTTCCTCCCTTGTCTCTCTTCTTCCTTCCTCCCTTCTTCCGTTCCTCCCTCCGTCCCTCCCTCCCTCCCTCCGTCGTCTCTCTTCTTCCTTCCTCTTTCAGTCCTTCCTTCCTCTTTCAGTGTCCTTCCTTCCCTCCCTCCCTCCCTTGTCTCTCTTCTTCCTTCCTCTTTCAGTGTCCTTTCTTCCCTCCCTCCCTTGTCTCTCTTCTTCCTTCCTTCCTTCCTTCCTTCCCTCCTTCCCTCCCTCCCTCCCTTGTCTCTCTTCTTCCTCTTTCAGTCCTCCCTCCCTCCCTCATCTCTCTTCTTCCTTCCTCTTTCCTCCCTCCCTCCCTCCTTTTTGTCCACCTCCTTTTCCCTTCTTTCTGTTTTCCTCTTTTTCATCTACATCTCTCCCTCCCTTCCTCCCTCCCTCCCGGTGTAATTTCCCCCTGGCTAATTCATCTCCTTCCTGGCTCTGCAGCCACCTTCTCTCTCTCTCTCTCTCTCTCTCTCGCATGCACATCCACCCACTCACTCAGCCTCAATTTCCGGGCCGGACGTTCGTTGTTCGATCTCTTGCTGGAGCGTGCAGGGAAACCGAACCTCGAGCTGGCAAAGCACAGCCGCATGTTTTACCCTCTACCCCCTCCCCCTCTCTTGTAGCCCGAGTTCACGTTGCTTCTCTTCCCTTTTTCAAGGTTACGGTTTCCTCCAGCCGGCCCAAGCGGAGATCTTTGCCCGCCAGCAAGAGATGCTCAGGAAACAAAATCTTGCCAGGTGAGAGTTGCAACACGAGTCCAATACACGGCAGGGCTTGGCACCCGGGATCTCCTGCCCCTCCCGCCCCCCGCGTTCGTCCCTGGACGGCCAGCAATTACCGGGTAGCCTTGGCAGAGAACCAGCACGATGGGGCGTCCTTTTTATCCTGGATTTTTCTGGGCAGCCGGCCTCGTTTGAAGAACATGAGGAATAGGAGATGTGGATTTCACTGGTTAGGCCTGGCAGTGTTGTGGCCCACCAGCGGCCAGCAGAGCTGGACAGTGAGGAGGTTGGGAGGAACATGGGTGAGTCCTGGAGTCTGGGGAAGGCTCCGACGTGGGCTCTGCGTCGGAGGCGGAGAGTGGGCCAGGCCGTCTGATAGTTATGTGCAGCCTCCGGAATCTGACATCAGCGAGGCAGAAGAACAGCGGGAGCCTGTTCCCAGTGTGCGCATGTGCAGAGCTGCCAGGAACAATTAAGAAAACAGGGTCGACTTGGGAGTAAGGCTTGGAGATGATTGCTCCCTCCCATAAGACATAAAAGAGAAGCGAACGGGACGTGAGCTTTTTGCAGGAAGCAGTGAGTCCATCTGGCCGATTCAAGATTTGAAAATTCTGTTTGTGACTCTGTGCCAAGTTTGGCCTTGCCTTGCGTGTGGCAATTAGTTCTCTGGCAGCTTTCCAAGGGAGATAAGGTGGGTGTTTATAAACATTCCCCTGAAAGACTGTTCGAGAAGCCTTTCGGACTGGGGATGAGAATAATTCACAGCCGTATGAACAAAAGAGGTTTGCCGGGACTAAGATTGTAAGGAAGCCTAGATCAGAACAGGCAAGGCCCTCCGTGCCTCTCACGCTAGGTTCTGCTTCGCCCCCTCGTTGACCGGGAGGGGCCAAAGAAACAATTAAAATTAAATTGAGCTTGGCCACTTCATGAAAGTCTCTTTGTATGGAATAATTTCCCATTGCCATTCGTTTGAGGGGGGGAGGTGGTGGTAATTTTTTACCCCCAAGTCTGTGATTTCCTTGTCTCTTTTTCAAGTACGAATAAAGCTTGCTTAACTTTGAGCCCAGACAGAGTATTGGGGGAAATGAAGTAGAAGAGATTGGAAAAGAATTAAGGGGTGAGGATTACCTCGCTAAATTGCCTGATGTTTGAAAGGGGGGGGAGTGGAATCTCTCATCCTTCCAGATGTCATTAATCTCCAACAGGGTTTGAATCTTTAACCAGTGGAACAACCTGCCTCCAGAAGTTGTGAATGCTCCAAAACTGGAAGTTTCTAAGAAGATGTTGGATAGCCATTTGTCTGAAGTGGTGTAGGGTTTCCTGCCTAAGCAGGGGGTTGGACTAGAAGACCTCCAAGGTCCCTTCCGACTCTGTTATTCTATTAATTTAAAAAGGGACTCCAATGTGACAGGTTTGCCCGATCTAAATAGATCCTTTCAATTGGATTTAGATTTTCTTAAAAAGCTTCCCTCACAGCCACCCACTGAGGCAGCCGACTAGATCCCATTTTTGAGGCAGGGATCTGAGTCATGGAGGCGGAAACGGTATACAGGCAGTCCTGGACTTACAGCCACTATCGACACCCAAAACTCAAGTGAGTTTTCCCCGTTTTACGACCTTCCTCGCCACGGTTGTTAAGTGGATCAGCGCAGTTCTTTTAAGTTAGTCACATGGGTGCTAAGTGAATCTGGCTTCCCCGTTGATTTTGCTTGCCAAGAAGGTCGCAAAAGGGGATCGCGGGACACTGCAACCGTCATAAATGTGAGTCGGTTGCCCAGCATCTGAATTTCAATCACGGTGACCACGAGAATGCTGCCGTGGTCCTAAGTGTGAAAAATGGTCCTAAGTCACTGATTTCAGCTCCGTTTGTAACTTCAAACAGTCACTAAATGAATAGTTGTAAGGGGTACTGGTGGCAGAAGTGGGATTTCAATTACAGACCTTCTCATCCAAACCCAATTCTTTACCCGCGTAGGCTGGAGATGTCAGCGGAAATTATCCGGCAGAAAGAACTGGAGAACCTTCACCGCCAGAGGCTCCTGGCGACCGACCCCATGAGTTTGCACCCGGGGCTTCCCCCAGACCATCCCGCTTTGCGGAGTCTCCACGACATCCCGGAAGGACACCCGCTTCGGGACGAGCTCTCCCGGAGGAACGCCATGCTAGTCCTCCGGCATAACAATGCCCCGCTGCTATCACTCAACCCCCAAGGGGTCCCCGCCGTCTCCACCACCCCTCCCAAGGAGCAGGGCACGCGGAGGGGCAGCCGGAAGGCCGCGCACTCTCGCTCCGAGGCGCTGGGCCAGAGCGAATCCAAAGACTTGTTGGATAGCCGTCCACCGGACAGCAACAACGAGGAAATGAAGGACTCGGATAGCGACGGCGAAGCAAACGACGAGAAACCGGACGCTCTAAAGCCCGAGAACAGCGGTGGGGCTGCTGGCGAGATTAAGGAGTGCAAAGAGGTGGCAAAGATTGGCGAGGGCACCAAAGAACTGGGCGAGGTACCAGCTGGGCAGAACCCACCCTGTAGTTCCGCCAATGCCGAGTTGCCTAGCTATCTCCTGGGTCCGACCATCGGCAAATCGGAGGCCAAGCTACTCCCCATGGCTTCCCTCCCGCCACCCCAGCCGTTGCCGTTCGGTTTCCCGTATACGATGAATCCGTATTTCCATGCAGGTGAGTGAGGGGAGGACAATCACAGGTGACATACTTCAGTGGGGCAGAACACACCTTTTTGGGGGGGAGGGAGAAGGCCAAAAGTGTAGAATTCCCAAGTGGAATCTAGCAGTCGTGGGGGTCAAAGATTGGGCCAAATTTTGGGGCCCAAGAGAGAGGAACAAAAAGCCCATCATTTCCAGCTTTCCGAAACATCACCCAGAGTCAGAGATGGGATTCAGCCAGTTCGGGAAAACCTGATGTTAACTTTAATCTGGTTCGCCGAACCGATAGTTGCAAGAATTGGCTGACTCCGCCCACTCTACCCTTCCCGGGAGTCTCCACGCGGCCCGTTTTGGATGCCAAGTAAGTGCAGGGCCCGTGCGGAGGCTCTGGGAGGGCGAAAAACGGGCCTACCAGAAACAGGCCCATTTCCGGCCTCCGGAGCCACGGGGAAGGCCATTCTCGCCCTCCCGGAGGCTCGAGGAAAGCCAGCCATGATGCAGGAAGCCGAGTAGGCCACGCCCCCATGGCCACGCCCACCCAGCAACCGGGCAAGAAAACCGGTTGCTAACATTTTCCAATCCCTTCCTTGGCCTTAAGAAGGTGCCCAAATCCATATTCTGTTTTTTTTTTTTTAAAAGAAAAAAATTAGACAAAGGCTCTGACCAAAGGCACAGCTTGAAATCTCTTCTTATTCCAAAAAAGTTTCTTTTGTAAAAAAAAATCCCTCCAGGTTTTTTTTTTTCGAGGTCGGCTCTCCTGCAACAAGAATTCTCAACTGACCGATTTGCGTTAGCTACGCACCCAAGAATTAAACGTGCTTTTTATTTATTATTATTTTATTTATTATTTATTTATTAGATTTTTATACCGCCCCCTCTCCCGAAGGACTCGGGGCAGTGAACAGCCAAAATTAAAAAAAACATACAATATAAACATTAAAATACGTTTAAAACAGAATTAAATCCAAAATGGCTCCCCAATTTAAAACGCCTTACCCATGACCCTATAAATAAGACGAATTTAAAATTTAAAATTTCCATATTTAAAAAGGGGGAAGATTTAGGCCAGGCCAGCTTTTTAAATTTCTTCTTTCATTTGCAGAGTGAGTTTTTTAACGGAGATGGGGGTGCAGAAATTGTGGGATAAAAGCCAGGAGACTCCGTCCCAAATAATTTGTGAATCTTTTCCAGAGATTTATTCCCTCCGTCTACACACAGACCCTATTTCGAAGTTCCCCCCGCCCCCCCAATCTGGGCAACTCATTAAAATGTTAAATTAAAACTCATCACATTCCCAGGCCGAGAAGTTAAGTTGGGAAAATATCTCTCGTCGTCACGCCGCTTAGATTTTTTGCTTTGGTCTAAAAGAGAGAATTCTGGTTAATTTCCGAGAGCTTCCTAGATACATCCGTGCAAGTTTTCTTGGCAGCAAAACGGGGGGATTTCATTCAAATCTTAAATCAGAGGTTTAGGGATTTTTCTCGGAAAGGGAAAAAAAACAACTGTAAATCTCTCCCATAGCCAGTGAATTGAACAATTAATCCGTGGGAACAGCTTGCCTCCAGAAGTTGTAAATGCTCCAAACACTGGAAGTTTTTAAGAAGAGGTTGGATAACCCTTTGTCTGAAGTATTGTAGGGTTTCCTGCCCAAACGGGGTTGGACTAGAAGACCTCCAAGGTCCCTTCCAACTTCTGTTATTCTATTCTATTCTATTCTATTCTATTCTATTCTACTCTACTCTACTCTACTCTACTCTACTCTACTCTACTCTACTCTACTTACTCTACTCTACCTCTACTTACTTACTCTCTCTCCTCTCTATCACTCCTCTCCTCTCACTCTATTTTATCTCTCTTCTCTTCTCTTTCTCCTCTTCTCTTCTATATTCTTTCTCTTCTCTCTTTTCTATATTTCTTCTCTTCTTTCTCCTTTCTATATTCTTTCTCTTCTCTTCACTCTTTTCTATATTTTTTCTCTTCTCTTTTCTTTCTCTTCTCTTTTCTATTCTCTTCTCTTTCTTCTCTTTTCTATATTTTTTCTTTTCTTCTATTCTTCTCTTCTATTTCTTTCTCTTTTCCCTCTTTTCTATATTTTTCTCTTCTCTTCTTCTTTCTCTTCTATATTCTTTTCTTCTCTCTTTTCTATATTTCTCTTTTCTCTTCTATATTCTTTCTCTTCTCTTTCTTTTCTTATTTTTCTCTTCTCTCTTCTTCTATATTTTCTCTCTTCTCTTCCTATTCCTCTCTCTTCTCTTTTCTATCCTTTTTTTTCTCTCTTTCTTTCTATTCTCTCTTCTCTTCTCTTTTTCTTTCTTCTCTTCTCTGCTCTGCTCTGCTCTTTCTCCTCTACTCTTCTCTTACTCTCCTCTCCTCTCTCTCCTCTATTCAATCCACTTCAACTCATTTTTTCAGTTCCTTCCAAATGTGGCCTGCTTTCTCAGGACTTCTAAAAAAAACCCAAATGTTCAGCTCCCCCCAGGTGACAGGCCTGTCTGTTTCCATCCAGGTTACTCCAACAGTCACCATTAACCTTGGTTTTCAGGGCTGTTTAAGGAATGATTTGGTTCATGGCTTATGCTTGGATGGAGGAACTCCAAAAATGGCTTATATTTAACAAGTGTAGGAGGATGAGCTGAACATAAGAGCTCCAAAAGATAAATTTCCCCACATTTCGATGGGGAATAAGGGATGAGAGAGGAAGGAGGAAGGGCCATTAAAAATACCTCCCACCCCGTATCCTGTTTCTCCGAAAATAAGACCCAACCAGAAAAAGAAAGTCCTAGCACATTTTTCAGGATGGGGAATAAGGATAGAGGAAGGAAGGGCCAGTTAAAATTGTCAGCCACCCCCATTATCCTTTTTCCCCGAAAATAAGACCCAACAGAAAATAAGTCCTAGCATGATTTTTCAGGATGCTCGTAATATAAGCCCTACCCCAAAAATAAGCCCCAGTTAAGATTGTCAGCACACGGAGGAGTTTAGTACTATATTTTTTCCCCAAATAAGACCTAACTAGAAAATAAGCCCTAGCATGATTTTTCAGGATGCTTGCAATATAAGCCCTACCCCCAAAATAAACCCCAGTTAAGATCATCACCAGACGAGGAGTTTAGTACCGTATTTTCCTAACTGAAAATAAGCCCTAATGCGTCTTTTGGAGCAAAAATTAATATAAGACCCGGTCTTATTTTGGGGGAAACACAGTATTTATTTTGGAGGCAAGTCACTTTCTCTCTTTCGTCGGGTACCGTGTCCATTCTTGTTTGTTGTCAGAATTGTTTTGGCTACTGCTGCCTCCTTTGGCGAATGTCACGCACACACAAACACACACGCATACACATTCACTTTTCTCCCATCTCTCAATAAAACGCTTGTGCGTTTCTTCTTTTTCTTCGCCATCGTTTTAGCTCGGAAAGTTTTTATTCCAGCAAAAGACGTGTGAGACGGGGTGGGGGAAATATGTTGGCAGAGGAGGCTGGGTGGAAAAATACTTGGGTTATTTTTTGATTTTTTTTTGAAGCGTTTGGAAGGGTCTGCGGGTTTTTTAATTCTTTTTTTTTTTAATTGAATAAAACTCTCCTCCGCGGTAAATTGGAGAGAATTTAGCTCTGGACACAAATTTTGTTGCTTTCGTTGGTTTGGAATTTCCGTCTCAATTGTGGTGGTGGACAAACGACACTGCCCTAACCCTCCCCACCAAGGATGCTCAGGGGTCACTCATCTGGAGCAGTGGTGGAATTCAAATTTTTTTATTACCGGTTCTGTGGGCGTGGCTTGGTGGGTATGGCAGGGGAAGAATACTGTAAAATACCCATTCCCTCCCCACTTCTGGGGGAAATATTACAAAATTCCCATTCCCACCCCACCCCACCCCACTCTTGGGGGAAGGATACTGCCAAATCCCCATTCCCTCCCCACTTCTGGGGGAAGGATACTGCCAAATCCCCATTCCCTCCCCACTCCTGGGGGAAGGATATTTGCCAAATCCCCATTCCCTCCCCACTCCACGGGAAGGATACTGCAAAATCCCCATTCCCTCCCCACTTCTGGGGAAATATTACAAAATCCCCATTCCCTCCCCACTCCTGGGGGAAGGATCTGCCAAATCCCCATTCCCTCCCCACTCCTGGGGGAAGGATATTTGCAAAATCCCCATTCCCTCCCCACTCCTGGGGGAAGGATATTACAAAATCTCCATTCCCACCCCAATTGGGGGCCAGCCAGAGGTGGCATTTTCCGGTTCTCCCAACTACTCAAAATTTCCACTACCGGTTCTCCAGAACCTGTCAGAACCTGCTGAAGAGCACCCCTGGTCTGGAGGCTTGGAAAGGACCCTAAAAGGTCATGTAGACGTGAGTCTCTCCTATGCCTGGATAATCGCTTGGTGTTCTCCTCAACCATCGCGCCACCTGGATCGGCGACCCACCCTCACTTCAGATGCTACTTTAGGATCTCTCCACACACACACCCCTCCAAACTCAGTCTCTTCTTTGAAAGCTTCCAGGGATGAAGTTCCCTCAACTTCTGATGGCAACTTCAATTCCATGGGTTGATTGTTCTCACTGTCAGGAAATTTCTCCTTATTTCCAGGTTGAATCTCTCCTTGATCAGTTTCCATCCATTGTTCCTTGTCTGGCCTTCTGGGTGCTTTGGAAAATAGCTGGACCTCCTTCCTCTCTGGGGCAGCCCCTCAAATATTGGAAGATGCTATCCTGTCTCCCCTGGTCCTTCTCTTCACTAGACTAGCCGTGCCCGGTTCTTGCAACCATTCTTCGTATATTTTAGCCTCCAGTCCCCTAATCCTCCTGGTTGCTCTTCTCTGCACTCTTTCCAGAGTCTCCACATCTTTTCTTTATTATGTTGACCAAAACTGGATGCAGGATTCCAAGTGTGGCCTTACTAAGTCATTATAGAGTGGAATTAGTTAGTACCTCCCTTGATCTTGATTGCATCCCTCTGTGAATGCAACAGTCCATGCTCATCTACTCCATAATTTTTTCCTGCAGGGCTGCCTCGCTCTCGTCACAGTCTCAGCAACCTGGCTGCCCACCCCCCTCCCATTTGCCCCTCGCTAGTGGGGAGACCTTTCTGCTACTTCTTAACAGCCGTGGTGGGATTCGTCCTCGGAACTGCCCCCTCCTTCCGCCTGAAAAACATTCGAACATGCTGAAATCATTAGGGCCTTTGACCCTCCCCCTTCCTCGAAGGTTTTCCTCCTGCCTTCCCCACCCCCACCCCCAACCCCGGCTAGGAAACCCCCCTGGAGGAGTTCGCCTCCAAATTGACCCTGCCTGGTATTTTAATTGACAGTTCATTAAAGATGGATGCGTGGCTGGAGGGAAATGCAGGAACGGAGAACAGGCTGTCCGCTGGGGAGGCGGGGGTAGGGGGGGTTGGGGGAAAAAGAGAGGAAAGCTTTGGTGATTTATGTTTCCTCTTTTCCTTCTCGCCTCCGCTCACCCCTGTTTTCCCATCTCTGCAAAAAATAAACCTCCCCCCCCCTTTTTTTTTTTTTTGCTCCTTCCAGGCACGATGGGAGGTCTCTTTCTGGATGGGGAAGAGAGCCCAGCCACCGCCGCGTTGCAGGACGTCAGCAAATGGAGCGTAGATGACGTTTGCAGTTTTGTGAGCTGCCTCTCCGGTTGCGCTGAGTACAGTCAGGTAGGTTGCCACCGGGTTCCCTAATAATTGCAGAAACGGCAACAAACTCAACACAACATTCCCTCTTGCATGTATACCATGTACAACAGAGGGCCAATTTCAGGAGTCAAAACTCCTGGAAGTTTTGTTTGTTTATGGCTGCATGTTTAGCCTGTTTTTCCGAGTCCAAGCATTGTACATACAGGGGTCTCCATTTGATCCATACAGGTACGGTAGTCGTCGACTTAACAACCACAATTGAACCCCAAATTTCCAAAGCTAAGCGAGACTGCTAAGTGACTCAGTTTACGACCTTTCTCGCCAAGTTGTTAAGTGTTAAGTTGTTACGTTTTGTGAGCTGCCTCTCTGGTTGTGCTGAATGCAGTCAGGTAGGTTGCCACCGGGTTCCCTAATATTGCAGAAATGGCAACACACTCAACACAACACAACACTCCCCCTTGAATGTATACCATGTACAACAGAGGGCCAGGAGTTTCAGGAGTCAAAACTCCCGGAAGTTTTGTTTGTTTATGGCTGCATGTTTAGCCTGTTTTTCCAAGTCCAAGCATTGTATGTACAGGGGTCTCCATTTGATCCATACAGGTACAGTAGTCCTTGACTTAACAACCACAATTGAACCCCAAATTTCCATTGCTAAGCGAGACAGTTGATTGAGTTTTGCCTCAGTTTACGACCTTTCTCACCAAGTTGTTAAGTTGTTACATTTTGTGAGCTGCCTCTCTGGTTGTGCTGAATACAGTCGCATATGTTGCCACTGGGTTCCTTCATATTGCAGAAACGACAACACAACTGCAATATTAAGGAACCCAGTGGCAACATATCCGACTGTATTCAGCACAACCAGAGAGGCAGCTCACAAAACTTAACAACTTAACGAGACAACAGAGGTACAACAGAGGGCCAGTTTCAGGAGTCAAAACTCCCAAAGTTGTTTATTTAATGGCTGCATGTTTAGCCTGTTTTTCCAAGTCCAGGCCATGTACATACAGGGGTCTCCATTTGATCCATACAGGTTGTCCTCGACGCACAACCAAAATCGAACCCCCAAATTTCCATTGCTAAGCGAGACAGTTGTTAAGTCAGCTTTGCCTCAGTTAAATGACTTTTCTTGCCAAGTTGTTAAGTTTTATGATCTGCCTCTCTGGTTGTGCTGAATACAGTCGTACGTTGCCACTGGGTTCCCTAATATTGCAGAATGGGCAACACATTCAACACAACACTCCCTCTTGCATGTGTACAATGTACAACAGAGGACCAGTTTCAGAAGTCAAAACTCCCGAAGTCTTGTTTGTTTATGGCTGCATGTTTAGTCTGTTTTTCCGAGTCCAAGCCTTGTACATACAGGGGTCTCTATTTAATCCATACAGGTAGTCCTCGGCTAATGACCAAAATTGAAGCCCAGATTTCCATTGCTAAGGGAGACAGTTAAGTGAGTTTTGTCCCAGTTAATGACTTTCCCTGCCAAGTTGTTAAGTGAATCTGGCTCCCCCAATTGGCTTTGCTTGTCAGGAGGTCGTAAAAGCGGATCGCATGGCTCAGGGACACTGCAACCGTCGTAAATATGAGGCAGTTGCCAAGCATCTGAGTTTTGATCCCGTGACCGCGGGGGATGTCGCGACGGTCATAAGTGTGAAAAATGGTCGTAAGTCACTTTTTTCAGTGCCGTTGTAACTTTGGTCACTGAACGAATGGTTGTAAGTTGAGGACTAGAGAGAGAATTGCCTAGTAAGTTTTATGGTAGGAATCGGGGTCTCTTGACCCCGCGTTGACCAGTTTCTGGATGGCCACCACATCCTTACCACACTAGCCATTGTCGTTAGCTGTGTGAATTGCACTCTAAGCCTTTTGCTGGGATCCAGAATGTCTCTTGGAGCACTTTGAAATCGGATCCAGTCAATCAACCAATCAAAATAACAGAGCTGGAAGGGAACTTGGAGGTCTTCTAGTCCAACCCCTTGCTCAGGCAAGGGTCCCTATCTCATTTCAGACACATGAATCCAAAGCTTCTGAGGTATTGTCGGGCGTTGCACTTACTTTTTAATCACAGGGGCTAGAAACTTGGTTACTCCCTTAAAAAGGCACTCTCGAACCTCTTATTTTATTTATCCAATTTTAAATCACAGGGGTTAGAAACTTGGTTACTCTCTTAAAAAGACATTCTCCTGAGCATCGTATTTTATTTATCCAATTTTTAATCACAGGGGCTAGAAACTTGGTTACTCCCTTAAAAAGACACTCTCGAACCTCTTATTTTATTTATCCAATTTTTAAATCACAGGGGTTAGAAACTTGGTTACTCCCTTAAAAGACACTCTCTTGAACCTCTTATTTTATTTATCCAATTTTTAAATCACAGGGGCTAGAAACTTGGTTACTCCCTTAAAAAGACACTCTCTTGAACCTCTTATTTTATTTATCCAATTTTTAATCACAGGGGCTAGAAACTTGGTTACTCCCTTAAAAAGACATTTTCCTGAGCATCTTATTTTATTTATCCAATTTTTAATCACAGGGGCTAGAAACTTGGTTACTCCCTTAAAAAGACACTCTCTTGAACCTCTTATTTTATTTATCCAATTTTTAATCACAGGGGCTAGAAACTTGGTTACTCCCTTAAAAAGACACTTTCCTGAGCATCGTATTTTATTTATCCAATTTTTAAATCACAGGGGCTAGAAACCTGGTTACTCCCTTAAAAAGACACTCTCTTGAGCATCGTATTTTATTTATCCAAATTATACCCTGCCCACTTCATCTAGGACGCTGGGGGGGGTTAAGATAGCAGTAGCACTTAGATTTATATACCACTTCACGGTGTTTTACAGCCCCTCTCTAAGCGGTTTGCAGAGTCAACAAAAAAAGATAAAAAGCTGTGCAGCCACATGAAAAGAGACATAGATGAAAAACAAACAAATTAAAAATAAATTTAAAAGGCGGGGGGGGCAACGGCGAGAGGGGGGGTGGAGTTTTACCCTGAAGCCACCTCCCCTAAAACGGTTCATCTATAGGCTTTTAAGTAAGACGAAGTTTCCTGATTTGGTTCTAGAGCTTGGCAGAAATTAATTTTTTTAAAAAAAAATATATGGAAAAATAATATTTCCAGATGCAGAGCGAGAATCGACCCCCATGTTGGCTTCGCTTGCCTAATAATTGCAGGAAAGCAGCGCTGATGAAAATCCAATCTGCCCCCCCCCCATCTCCCCCGGAGAGACGGAGCAGACAAGGGAGGGGCAGGATGGGCCACCAAAACCCATCCATCACTCCCCGGGGTGAGTGGGTGGGAAAAGAGAGGCTGCCAGCTGGAACATAAAGGGCTTGTTAAACTTGGCTTCCGAGTTAGCACATTGTGGCTTACAAATGCCCTTTGGAGAACTCCAGCTGCGGAGGGGAACGGAGTCTGGAAACATCTGGATTCTTCCGTCGTCGAAGGGGCATAAGGCCAAGGATCAGAAGAGAGATTTATTTCTCTTCCCTTTTCTTTCTTTCTTTCTTTCTTTCTTTCTTTCTTTCTTTCTTTCTTTCTTTCTTTCTTTCTTTCTTTCTTTCCTTCCTTCCTTCCTTCCTTCCTTCTTTCTCTCTCTCTCTCTTTCTTTCTTTCTCTCTCGCTCTCTCTCTCTCTCCCTTCCTTCCTTCTCTTCCCTTCCCTTCCTTCCTCCCTTCCCTTCCCTTCCTTTCCCTTCCCTTCCCTTCCCTTCCCTTCCTTCCTTCCTCCCTTCCCTTCCCTTCCCTCCCTTCCCTTCCCTTCCTTTCCCTTCCCTTCCCTTCCTCTTTTCTTCCTTTCCTTTCCTTTCCTTCCTCTTTTCTTCCTTTCCTTTCCTTTCCTTCCTCTTTTCTTCCTTTCCCTTCCTTTCCCTTCCCTTCCCTTCCCTTCCCTTCCTTCCTTCCTTCCTTCCTTCCTTCCCTTCCCTTCCCTTCCTTCCTCCCTTCCCTTCCCTTCCCTCCCTCCCTTCCCTTCCCTTTTCCTTCCTTGCTTCCATCCTTCTCTCTCTCTCTCTCTCTCTTTCTCTTTCTAAAAAAGGCTCCCCAGCTGAAATGGGAATTCAATTCTCTACCAGCAGTTTTATTGGCTGCTTTTTCTGTTTTCCAAAGTGTTAAGACCTTGGAGGTCTTCTATTCCAACCCCCAGCTACCGTGTTTTCCCAAAAATAAGTCATCCCGTGATAATAAGCCCAGTCGGGCTTTTGAGCTCATGCGCCAAAATTCCCCCACCTACCGAAAATAAGCCCTCCCTGAAAATAAGCCCTTCCCCAAAAATATTTAAAAGCATACACAGCCGGTCTCCACCATTTCCTCTGGTTAGGGTTAGGGAGAAAAGAGCTGGAAATCAGGTAAGACGGCAAGAGGATCCCCGTCTTGCTCCACGCGCCCCAAAATAATAAGACCCCCCCGAAAATAAGGCCAAGCACTTATTTCAGGGTTCAAAAAAATAGCGCACGGCTTGAAAATGTGGCTAAATAAGATGGCATAGCGACGGGGCATATGGGCGGTTCGTCCGAACCCGCAGGTCACTGCTACCGGTTTTCACGAACCGGTCCGTACCAACTGAATACTACCACTGCCTGGCATTCAGCAAAAGTTAATGCAGAGAATTTGCCATTTCAACCCAGTGTTTTTTGCTCGTGGAAAAATTGCAGGCTGTGCAAATTGAGGGTTGTTAGGTGTGGGAGAGAACCTGCCTCCTTGCTGTGGTCCCCCAGCTGGATCCCCAGATCTCTGGGGCATGGGGGAATAAAAGCCATGTCCTTTCGGAGGGAGAAAAGCCGCCGATCCTGGCTCATTAAGCAGTGGTGAAATCCAATTTTTTTTTATTACCGGTTCTGTGGACGTGGCTTTGTGGGCATGGTGTGGCTTTGTGGGCGTGGCAGGGGAAGGATATTGCAAAATCCCCATTCCTTCCCCACTCTAGTGGAAGGATATTGCAAAATCCCCATTCCCTCCCCACTCCTGGGGAAAGAATATTGCAAAATCCCCATTCTCTCTCCACTCATGGGGGATGGATATTGCAAAATCTCCATTCCCACCCCACTCCAGGGGAAGGATACTGCAAAATCCCCATTCCCTCCCCACTCATGGGGGAAGGATACTGCAAAATCCCCATTCCTATCCCACTCCAGGGGGGAAGGATACTGCAAAATCCTCATTCCCTCCTCACTCCTGGGGGAAGGATACTGCAAACTCCCCATTCCCTCCCCACTCATGGGGGAAGGATACTGCAAAATCCTCATTCCCACCCCACTCATGGGTGAAGGATATTGCAAAATCCCCACTCCTTCCCCACTCTCAGGGAAGGATATTGCAAAATCCCCATTCTCTCTCCACTCATGGGGGATGGATATTGCAAAATCTCCATTCCCACCCCATTCCAGGGGAAGGATAACTGCAAAATCCTCATTCCCACCCCACTCCAGGGGAAGGATACTGCAAAATCCCCCTTCCCACCCCACTCCAGGGGAAGGATATTGCAAAATACCTCGTGGGTGAAGGATATTGCAAAATCCCTATTCCCTCCCCACTCTGGAGCCAGCCAGAGATGGCATTTGCCGGTTCTCCGAACTCCTCAAAATTTCCGCTACCGGTTCTCCAGAACCTGTCAGAACCTGCTGGATTTCACCTCTGCCATTAAGCATCCATCGAACCTGGGTGCATCTGCAGGAAGGTTTTGTGCGATGGCGGCATGCACGTTGCAGAGCAAGTTTAAAAGGATTTAAGTCTCTCTTTTTTTTGTAAACCCCCCACCCCCATCAAGCTTTGCATTTTCTTATTTGGGATTTATATTTTTAAAGGGTGCAAGGGAAGCCCGGGCCTTCGCGGGAAATCCGAACCGGGAGAAACGTCTGCTTTTAATGTTTCAACACCCGGAAACCGCAGCTGCTGGGGAGGTCTGTCCCTCCTCGTTGGCTGGGGAAATGCAAAATAAAATTGCGATGGAGGGTTTTTGCGCTGGGAAGAAGCGAGGCGGTGTGGGGGGGAAAAGAGTTTCTGCATTCAAGACAGCTGACTCGTCATCCTGTGTCCCCCCCCCAAATTCTCTGTGAGTCTGTGGGAAAGGAGGAAGTCCCCAGGACAGAGGTCCGCAACCTTAAGCACTCAAAAGAGTCATTTGGACCGGTTTCCCACCGAAAACTGGGGAATTCTGGGAGTCGAAGCCCACCCATCTTTAAGTGATTTAACACAGATTGATATGCAATTCCATCTCACCATTGCAACTCCTCTGGAGTGTATAGATTAGAACAATGCCGTGTTTGGGAAGGGGGAAAAAATTGCCTTTGTCCATTTCTAGCAAAATTGCAGCCCCGTCTTGTTTCTCGACAGGTCTTCCGGGAACAGGCCATTGACGGCGAGACGCTACCACTCTTGACGGAAGAGCATTTACTCAACCACATGGGCTTAAAACTAGGTCCTGCGTTGAAAATAAGGTCACAGGTAAGAAGCCGTCCGAAATGAAATTAAAACGGAAGCCTATGAAAAAAGTCAGCCGAACTATCATACTACGTACGTCCATTGGCTACTTCAGGGGTCAGCAACCTGTGGCTCCGGAGCCGCATGCGGCTCTTTGGACCCTCTGCTGTGGCTCCCTGTTGGGTGATCCCACCACTGGCTGGCCCCACCCCTCGCCCTCCCCTCCCAGTCACTCCCCGCCTGGCCTGAGAAGATAAGGGTGACGGCGGGGGATGGAGAAGCGGCCAGGGCAGAGACAGAGAGATACAGAGAGAGCGGGAGAGAGAGACAGACATAGAGAGATACAGAGAGCGGGAGAGAGAGAGACATAGAGAGATACAGAGAGAGCGGGAGAGAGAGAGAGACAGAGCGGGAGAGGGAGAGAGACATAGATACAGAGAGCGGGAGAGAGAGAGAGACAGATACAGAGAGAGCGGGAGAGAGAGAGACAGAGAGAGCGGGAGAGAGAGAGACAGAGAGATACAGAGAGAGCGGGAGAGAGAGACAGAGAGCGGGAGAGGGAGAGAGACATAGATACAGAGAGAGCGGGAGAGAGAGAGACATAGATACAGAGAGAGTGGGAGAGAGAGAGAGACATAGAGAGATACAGAGAGAGCGGGAGAGAGAGAGAGACAGAGAGAGTGGGAGAGGGAGAGAGACATAGATACAGAGAGAGCGGGAGAGAGAGAGACACATAGAGATACAAAGAGCGGGAGAGAGAGAGACAGATACATAGAGAGGGGGAGAGAGAGAGTGGAGGGAGGGGGAGAGAGAGAGATGTCAAAAGGATTTTGTGGTTCCCGGTGTTTTTTTAACAACTGGTTCTCTGTCCTAATCACCGGCTGGTAGGCGTGGCTTGGGGAGGTCATGTGACTGGTGGAAGTGAGCAACATTGAGTTGGCCACGCCCACCCAGTGGCTCCCGGTGCTTTCTTTTCTGTGGGAAACTGGTCCAAATGGCTCTTTGAGTGCTTAAGGTTGCAGACCCCTGAACTAGTTCTTTCTGTTTGGAAAAAAGGCAAACCACGGTTGCTGGTTTATCAGCAGTGCTGGTTTATCAGCAAACCTTGCTTTATCAGCAGTTATTCTTTTGGGGAGGATCTCTTCCAAATGCAAACTTTTAGATGTACTCTCTTTCTTTCTTTCTTTCTTTCTTTCTTTCTTTCTTTCTTTCTTTCTTTCTTTCTTTCTTTCTTTCTTTCTTTCTTTCTTTCTTTCTTTCTTTCTTTCTTTCTTCCTTCCTTCCTTCCTTCCTTCCTTCCTTCCTTCCTTCCTTCCTTCTTTCTTTTCTTTTCTTTTCTTTTCTTTTCTTTTCTTTCTTTTATTTTATTTCTATACCGCCCCTCTCCCGAAGGACTCAGGGCGGTGTACAGCCAGGTAAAAACACAATACAAATATCACAATTTAAATTTAAAAAATTATTACAAGTTGGGCTTTAAACCATGGTTTAATTCTGTGTTCTTCAACCTTGGGGCACAGTTTTGCCAAGGTTGAAAAACACTGGTTTGTAATCCATGTGCTGAGCCATAAACCGCGGTTCATAAACCACAGCGGTTGAGTTGGCACTCTATCTCAAGCCACGACAGCTAGTAAGTTTAGGTTGGTTTTTTTTTTTAATTGTTTATATTTATGCTTTTAGTTTAATATCCTTTTGTTTTTCATTCTTTTATTTTTAGGCTGCCCAACAGCCCAAGCTTTTTCACAGCGTCTAATAAAATTTAGCGATATCGAATAAAATCCAACAGAATGCAAATTTAGGAAGCAGCCAAGGCGTTCATTAAAAAAATAAATAAATAGAACAGGGCCCAGTTTAAAATGCTGTTTAAAACCTTGGGCAACAGTCGAGGTGACTTTTAACCCAGTCCACGGCAGAATCTCTCCTCCGAGTTTGCAAACTTTGCAAGAGCCTTAAGCCTGGGAAATCTGGCTTCCAAGTTTTTAGCTGGTCTGGAAAAAGGGGGAGAAATTAACATTTTGCAATGATGCTCTTAACAAAGGAAAGCCAAATTCCCTGAAAGCAGAAATGTAGCTTTGAAGGAAGGCTAAGGTATGATTCCAGCTTCTCTTAGGGCAGTGATGGCTAACCTTTTTGCCATTGCGTGCCAGGAAAGGGGGGCGGTGGGGGGTCACACACGCGCGTGCCCATACGCATAGTTCTATGCGACCCATCCACACCCCACTCATCCTGCGCCTGGCACGCAATGGCCAGGTATGCCTGTTTTTCTTTCTCACCTGGCTCCAGGACCTCTCTAGGCGTCTGGGGAGGGCGAAAACAGCCTTCCCTACCCCTCCAGAGGCCAAAAATGGCCCGTTTGACAACTTTCAGTCCCATCGGAAGCTGAGCTCACTGATGTCTAGTCCATCGTGGTTTAGTTAGCCTATCCTGGTTTAACTAGCGCAGCTTTGTGAAATGAATGGATCCGATCTGGGTTTGCTGACGAGGTGATATAGAGCCCTTTGGGTTTAAAGCTTGGAAGACCTCCCTTTGTGTCTTAAGACTGAATTTCTGAAGATGCCCCATCCTCCCCAAAATCTTCAAGGCCTTGTGCCCTTTGCCCAGTGCCCCGCAATCCAATTTCTCCTTGTGTGTTGTTGCTGTGAACTTGTTTTGAGCCAATCTCTGCAGGCCCAAAAGGGCTTCCTAATTTTTTTTTGACCTCTTTATTTTGCTTTTTTAAATGCTCTGGCTTCAAAATTGTCCCCGTTCCCCTGCCCCTTTGTGTGTCCCTCTCCCCCCCCCCAAAAAAACCCCAGACAGATTCCCTTCTCGGCTTGTTTTTAGATCCTGTAGATCTCACAGGATTGCACTGGGTCCCAAGTTCTCCTCCTTTCGATGAATCGGTGTTATTTCCGGCGCAATTGTTCCACAGGGAACAATTGCCCAAAGAACCTATTTATTAGATCCCTCGTAAAGAGGGGGGAAAGTAATAAAGCTGCCCTTATCGTTTTAACATAATAAAACAAATGTGTAGGGCGGGGGTGGGGGGAGGTGGGCCGGAGAGAGGAAGGGGAGCCGGCATTGGTAAACAATGTTTATTGCTCTGTGCAGTGGTTTGCAACCATTTCAATTTCCTTGAGGGCCGCATCAGGGTTGTGTTTGACCTGGGGAGGGCGGGGTGGACACGGCCAGGATGGGCATAGCCAGTTTGACGTCACTTGAGTTGGGAGGGTCACCTGTGGTGGCCCAAGCGATCTGCCAGAGAAAATGGGTTCCTGAGCTCCGTTTTCTGCTGCGACAGCCTCCTGCAACCCTCTGCCAGTGAAAACTGAGCTCGGGATGGCTGTGTGCAGCCCTCCCCAGCTCCATTTTCGCTGACAGAGACACTGCAGGCCAGTCCTTCACTGTTTCCTGGGCGGCTCCGCAGGACCAAATCAAAGCACCTCGCGGGTTGGATCCAGCCCCCGGGCTTTGAATTTGACATCCCGGATTTAAAAGGTTCCCCTGGCACATACGTGCTAGTCGTTCCCGACTCTAGGGGGCGGTGCTCATCTCCGTTTCAAAGCCGAAGAGCCAGCGCTGTCGGAAGACGTCTCCCTGGTCATGTGACCGGCATGACTAAACGCCAAAGGCGCACGGAACACTGTTGCCTTCCCACCAAAGGTGGTCCCTATTTTTCTACTTGCATTTTTTAACCTGCTTTCGAACTGCTAGGTTGGCAGAAGCTGGGACAAGTCACGGGAGCTCACCCCGTTACGCGGCAGCACTAGGGATTCGAACCGCCGAACTGCCGACCTTTCGATCGACAAGCTCAGCGTCTTAGCCATTGAGCCACCGCGTCCCAATTTACGACTTTAAAAGCCGTAGTAAATGCCATGTGGACTCCCCCTTAGTACCAGGGCTGTTACTTCTCTGTGCTCTGGAAGAAAGGTGTAGACGACGTTGAAATTTCGGAATTTATGTTTGAAATCTTTGCACCCATTAGCTCGGATTTGGGTGTCGCTTTCCCAAATCCTCCCAGGTGCTTCATTTGCTTTTCCTTGCTGCTTTTTCTCCAGGTAGCCAAGAGAGTGGGCCGGGTGTTGTATATGGCCAGCTTTCCGGTGGCTTTCCCACTGCAGCCGCCCGGCCTGCGACCCGCCGATTGCAACCTTCCTCCCGCCGAGCTTCGCCCACCCTCCACCGGCAGCGTGGCCTCGTCCCCTTACGGAGGGCCGCTTCTCCCCAGCCGGGTTTCCCCCAAGCAGGAAAACGGGACCTCTCTCTTGGCGGCTCTGGGCGATGCCCCCAAGCTCCCTTCGTAACCTCTGGATTCTCCGCCGTCGGACATCCCACTGAAGAAGGAAGCTCCCCCCACCCCCACCCCAAGAGGCCGCGTGGAAATCTGCTAAAAATATTCAAATTGGGGGGGGGAGGAAATAAACACTCGGCGTAATGGAGTGGGCGGGTTGGATTAGGGCGGGTGGGGGGAAGTGCTCCAAAGAAACATTGGAAGGAAGACACAGTTGGAGAAGGAAGCACCGTTCGGCTCTGCAAACCGGCCACGGATGGGGGTTCAGAGGAGCAAGGAAACCCCCTCCTCTTCCTTTTTTGCAGAGGGGGGGGGGGGCGGGAAAAAAACCCCACATCCCTGGCGTTTCTGTTTTTGGAAGGGGGAGGTCTATGCATCGCTAAGCAGCTTTTGAATTAATACCAAAGACAAGACAAAGTGATCCAGTGTCCAAACTCCACTCCATGTTTCTTCTTCTTTTTTTTTTTTTGATTTGGATGGTACGGCACAGCCCAGTCCTGCGTGGGCTGTCTTCTTCCTTTTTCTTTTTTTGGGGGGGATTTTCTGTGTCTTATCTTTCGATGTCCATCAGTTGGTTGGTTGGTTTGCCCGCTCGCTCGCGTAGTTTCCATCCTGGCCTTCTTTCAGACTCCCCATCTTTTCCGAGGTCGGTAAAAAACGAGGACCCGGATTGTTTTGAGGGCAATGCCCTGCCGACTCTGAAAACGGCTTAAAGGGGGTCGTAAAAGCACCGTGAAGCGGCATATAAGTCTTAAGTGCTGTTTCTATTGCCGCTTAGCAGCGGGTTACCTTTCTGGGAACCGTTGGGAAGGAGACAGAAAGAAAGCAGGAAGGATATTGTGCTTGGGGGGGGAATGGGGGTACCCTATTGCTCCCGTTCTGGAAGTCTGTCTTTTGTGTGTGCATGTGTGTGTTATGAGCGGCCCTTGGTGCTCCCCGAGCTTGTTTTTCTTGGCAGACGTCTCGTGACCCGGTGAGGTAACGTCATCCAGTGCGGTGAGAGAGGTGATGATCGGTGCCAGGGGTGAAATGTAAAATTTGTTACTACCGGTTCTGGGGGCGTGGCTTGGTGGTGGTGGTGGGTAATGTGACTGGGTGGGCGTGGCCAACTTTTTTTTTTTTTTAAACTTTTCAAAGCATTTTTTTTCTAATGCTTTGAAAAGCCTCTCTGCCGATCCGGCATCTCAGCTGGGATCGTCAGAGACGCTTTTTAAAAAATGCTTTGAAAAGCCTCTCTGCCGATCCGGCAACTCAGCTGGAATCGTCAGAGACTTTTCAAAGCATTTTTTTTTAACCACCTCTTCCGCCAAGAGGTTGCAGAAAAAAAATGCTTTGAAAAACCTCTGACGATCCCAGCTGAGCCACGCGGGATCATCAGAGGCTTTTTTTTTTTTTTTTTTACTTTTCAAAGCATTTTTTCATCGGACGAGATTGTTGAAAAAATGCTTTTAAAAGTTAAAAAAAAAGCCTCTGATGATCGGGTGGCTCAGCTGGGCATGGGTGGGGGGCGCAGGGATTTTTGCTACCGGTTCTCCAAACCACCCACCGCCTTCGCTACCGGGTCGGTCCGAACCGGGAACATTTCACCCCTGATCGGTGCACTGATGATGATACACCTAGCTGGGTGATGAAACTCTTGCAAGAAAACCCCCAAGCTCGGAGAGCATCAAGGACCCCACAGTTCCACCCTGAGCTATAAATATTCTCCTCTGTGTGTGTGTGTGTGTGTGTGTGCATATAATACAGAGGTATGTTCCATTTTAATTGGCTTTTGTGCCCAACGAATGCATTGGTTTTTTTTTTTTTTTTTTTAAAGGCAGGGCAACCAGGGTGAGGCTATGAAATTGCACATTTTTCCTGCCATCCACACCCAGGCCTCCCTTGCCAGCTTTCAACCGTGTGTGTTTGTCCAGTTTGGGGGTGAGTGGGGAAAGAATGCAGGGGCCAAACTTTTAAGACACCCCTGTGTCTTGTGTTTTTTTTTCTCTCTTTTCTCTCTCTCTTCCCCCCCGGGGGGGCATTTTCAACAGCAACCCCACACCTAACCCGAGATAGCTCAGTTTGGTACCTTAGCTGCTTGTTCAAAGTTACCCATCACTACTTTTAAGGCTTTTTCCAGCAGTTGGAATGACAATAAAAACAAAAAAAGAGTTCACTCCGTTTATAAAAACGGGCACGGTGTCGGGGTGTGTCCTTCAGAACTTCACATTCCTGGTGTGTGTGTGTCTGTGTATGTGGTGGTGGGGGGAGAAACCACCTTAAAAAGTCTTGGTGGGGTGATGGGTACACATATCCCAGCTTAGTAGAGGAAAATCCTGGCCTAATGAGCCAGCTTGGACCAAGGGTTAAATATGAAATAAATGTTAGTGGTTGTGGGAATCTCACCAGATGGCAATGGAGAGGGACGAGAACAGGTAAGTTGGGGCGTGGAGGGTACAGGTGCTGGGAAGATGGGGGGGCAAAGGCAGGTCTTGAGGCAAGAGCCTTGGTAGTACAGTGGTTTAAAGCACCCTGTTATTAACACAGCTGCCTGCAATGACTGCAGGGTTCGAATCCCACCAGGCTCAAGGTTGACTCAGCCTTCCATCCTTTCTAAGGTAGGTAAATTGAGGACCCAGTTTGTGGGGGCAATAAGCTGACTTTGTATAAATATACAAAAGTATGAAGGTTATTGCTTAACGCATTGTAAGCCGCCCTGAGTCTCCGGAGAAGGGCAGCATATAAATCAAATTTAAAACCAAAAAAAACCCAAAAGAGCCCCCCCCCCAACAGTTGGCCTGCCTGCTGCAGCCCCCATCTTCCCAGCTCCTGCATTTCCCTCCCTCCATCTTTGGCCTCAAGGGGGTGACTGAGGTAGGGAGGGGCAGGCCCTGGATGCCCCCCCCACTCCCAGGTTGGGATGGCCCCTGCCATCTTCCCAAGACCACCTTCCTCTTCTTCTGGGGGGGCTAAATGGAGGTGGGAAGTGGAAGGATGTTAGAAGCTGGAGCTCCTTGCCCAACATCCCTCCTCTTCCCAGCTCCCTCTGGTGCCATGCGTGCGGGCACCGGCAATGGAGGGAATGGGAGGTCCTACAGTGGGGGGGGGCATTGGCAGGACTAGGGGCAAACGCCTCCCTTGAAAAGCCAGGGAGGACCCTGCCCATTTCTCCCTCCTTTTCGGACCTTCCTTTCCCTGCTGTCTCTTTGCCACCCTGCCCAGCATGGCACCAAGGGAGCTGGGAAGAGAAGAGGTGGGGTGTTGGGCAAGGAGACCCCCCCCCAGCCTGTCTCTTAACATCCTTCCAGTGTTTCCCACCTCCTCCAGCAGTTTGGGGGGGGGGGGGGAGAAGAAGAGGAAAGTCTTGGGAAGATGGGGAGGGGGGCACATCCAAGCAGATCTGGGGGAGGGGGGGCACCCAGGGTCTATTCCTCCCTGGTCCCCCCCCTTGAGGCCACAGATGGGAGGGGTGGGGGAAATGGGGGGGAGGGGTGGGGGAAATGGGGGGGGTCAGGAAAAAAAAAAAACACCCAAGATGGCAGAAAAATCTTTATTAGAACTCAAAAAAACAAATCAACATTCCCCCCCCACAATTACAGTTTTGGTTTAAAGGTAGCCCAGAGGAGGGCAGTCCCAGAAGGGGGGGTATGTTTACATACCCCCAATGACCCCCCCTTCCCCCCAAGGCCCCTATTGGGCCAAGATTGATGGTGACTTGAGGGAGGCCTAAGAAGAGATGGGGTACATGTGAGGGGCCACAGAGAACAGCTTGCCAATGTCCTTGGCTTGGAGTGGCCAAAACGCCACCCTGAGAGCCAAGGACACTGGCAGCGTCCCGGCACACCTGCACCCCATCTCTCGGCCTCCCCCAAGTCCCCACCAGCCCTGAGCTTCAACCATGGTAAAAGGCAGGCTGGCGAAAGAGGCCCTGGGATGCCCCAGACCTCTCCGCTAGCCTCCCCATGCCATAGTTGGCTCCTGGCCTTTCTTTCCCCCCCCTTCCTGGGCATGACCCACCATGCAAGAGATTTCTCTCTGCACCCCTTGCTAGAAGCAGGCGCACACAAACGTATATTATTCGAAATGAACTTTCCAAGATTTGGAACAAGAGTACGCCGTGCACACCTGCTTAAAACAAGGGGAGGAACTGCAATTTTACCTGGATGGATTGTCTGGCTCACCTGGGAAGAGTGTGGAGAGGGACCGTGCATTACACCCAACGAACTGAGACCCTACATAATAAAGGTGTTCAACTTTGACAAGTTTAAGTTGTGTAGGCTTTTCTAATTAGAACTGAAGTCCACCCATCTTAAGTTTGCCAAGGCACCGGAGACCCCGACACAAGGGAAGGTTTCAGAGTTGAGGTGCACCCATTGGACGGGAAGGACCTAAAGGACTTAAAAAATTCTGGGCATCCAAGTTACATGGATCGCAGCTCGAGTTCCTAATGTACAGAAAGATCTGGGAGGAAGACACATCCCCAGAATACACAAAGACCCCCCCCCCCAAATGGATGGACTTTGTCCCCCAGACTTCTCCAGCCACACTGCTAAGCTTCTGGGTATTTAAGTTCAATCAAAAAACTATTTTTAGATTTATGTTCCCAGAATACAGAAATAAGCGTGAGAAGTCTGGATTGCATCAGTTGACTTTCCATCTAGACAAGAGGGTTTAACTTTTGATTCCCTTAATTCTACACCCGTTGCCAAGCTCTGGGAATTGAAGTTGTCCTATTCAGATGCAGAATGCTAGGTCAAATGGACTTCAGTTCTCAGAATTTTTAGCAGGATGATCGTTTTTAACATCAAACCTACCTTGAGAATGCGGGACTTCCATCTCCCAGTTTGGTGAACTTCAATTCCCAGAATTCTCCAGTGCTGGAGAACACCAGAGATTGAACGGCAGCCAATCTGGTACTTGGGGGGGTCAGGAGAGGACCTCAAATTTCTAGGGTTTTCAAGACTACCATTGCTATAGGGCAAGGGTCTCCAACCTCGGCAACTTTAAGACTTGTGGACTTCTGGGAGTTGAAGTCCACAAGTCTTAAAGTTGCCGAGGTTGGAGACCCCTGCTGTAGGGCATCCTATCGAGATAGGATTATTCCTCTGTGGTGAAGAACTTTCTGAACACAGAATTCAGAAGAATTGGAGACCCACCATCTACGGGACATGGATCCGTCTCCTGGATTGGACTCCAAGCCTCAGAATTCCTAACAGAACTAAGAGTTGGAGGCCCACCAGCAGGGCATGGGACTTCCCAGAATTTTGAGCACAGAATGCAGAAGAATTGGGGGCCACCACCAAGAGAACGCATGGAGCTCCCAGTCTCCAAGAATGGTGAACTTCAGTTTCCGGAATTCTCCAATCCATGGGATGGAGAAAGCTGGACATTGAATTGCAGCCATCTGGTGCTCTAGGGATGGGGAAAAATGGGACATCTTAAGATTCTCTAGCCACCATTGCTAAGAATTCTGGGAGCTAAAAAAAACCCCTCCCTTTGAAAGCTGCATCGTTCAATGGGTGGACTACAGCCCCCCAAAATTCTTAAAAATCCCTGCTGCAGAATTCTGGGAGTTGAGTTGGCAGACATCTTGCGCCTTCCAATCGGGTGGACTCCCAATTCCCAGAATTCTCAAAAATTCTGAAGAGTTGAAGTCCACCCTTCTAAAAGGCTTTCTGAAAGCAAGAGTTCAAAAATCCAGACATCCCCGGTGGGTGTATATATATATACACGACCTTCTTAGATCAGGGTTTCTCATCCAGAATTCCCCAAACCAACTGGCTGGGGAATTCTAGGATTTGAAGTCCACACATCTTTAGAATTTAGAATAACAAGAGTTGGAAGGGATCTTGGGAGATCTTCTAGTCCAACCCCGCTTCAAGTTGTTAAGGTTGAAAAACCCTGATGCAAGTTCTTCTGATGCCTCAACTCTTGTCCTACCACCTGAACTTGGTCTACAGAATCCTACAAGATAACACTCGTGGTCTGGTCTGGTCTATTCTATTCTATTTGTTCTGTTCTATTCTATTCTATTCTATTTGTTTTGTTCTGTTCTGTTCTGTTCTGTTCTACTCTACTTGTCCTGTTCTGTTCTGTTCTATTCTACTCTACTCTATTCTGTTCTGTTTTACTCTACTCTACTCTACTTGTTCTGTTCTATTCTATTATTCTATTCTATTCTATTCTATTCTATTCTATTCTATTCTATTCTATTCTATTCTATTCTATTCTATTCTATTCTACTCTACTCTAAATTCTATTCTATTCTACAAAAGATAAAGGCTGACAACAGCCAAGATTCCTTGAGCCTACCATCCAAAGCTTAAAGCTAGCTGAACTACCTTCATTTCAAATTTATGGCATCCAAATTGATCACTTAAGGGCTCTTGGGCTTCAAGCGTATCTCCATAAACCCCAAAACTCGGTTTTTCAGCCAAGCCAAAGACTTAAAAGAAGTCCCTTCACCTAACTTGCAAATTAGGGAGAGGTCCTGGCTACGCTGGGGATCCACCCACGACTCAACAATAAGGATTTGCTAACTCCTGATCCTACATCTGATCTGTCAGGTGACCTTAGGCGACCTTAAGTGTTTTGGGGGGGGGGGTGTCTCAGTTCCTGGTGGACCCTGCACAGCGGGTGGGGAAAAGAAAGGCGTTGTGTAGATCACAATGCAGTGAAAGCCGCAGGGAAAAACGTCGCTCCCATCGGGATCTGGCCGTTTTGCCCGCTGCGGTTTCGGTGCAGCGAGATCTCCAGAAAGAAATCCACAAGAGGCTGTTTTTACAAGCCGAGAAACCACACAAATGTTCCCAATACAGAAATGAAAAAAAAAAAAGGAAATTGGATGGATTCAACGCACGCCTTGCGCTGCCCAGTCCGACTCTTCCTGATGCGTTTGGTCCAATTTTATATATTTTTTTTTAAATGTCCACTTGGCAGGAAAAGAGCCAAGCCAAAAAAAATGTGGTGGGACTTCGTGGGACTTATCATTGCAATCTCCAGCGCTGGACGAGTGGGATTCCTTCCCAGAGGGTGGGTTTTAAAAAAAATATATATATTTAAAAGTTTTATTTTGAGATGGTTTTAAGAACCCACATTATTCTAAAGAGGCAGGTTTTTGGGGGTTTTTTTTGCAGCCATCGTGTCTTTTTAGGCTCCCCTGCCGGATGACCAAATTTTCTGGCATGTCCGTCTAGCGCAGAAACGCAGCTGCTGGAACAAGGCAACTTTCCTCGGCCCTCCAAAAGTGGCAACAGCTGTCCAGTTACCCACACACACCCAAAAAAAAATATATCTGTCCATCCATCAGTCTTCATCGGAAAAATCCAAATCTTCCACCACGTCCTCTTCTCCTTGTGCCAGCTGTTGCACCTCTGTCCGAGACAGCGGTTTCCGACGGCTCGGTCGGGGCACGGCCCTCTCGCCTCCTGGAGAAGGAAGGAAAACGGGAATGGGGGTCAATCCAACCTCAATGGGGAGAGGAGGAGGGGGGCACAACCACACACACACACAAAAAAAAGGCAGCTGGGTGCTAATTAATCACCGGTGCTAATTAATGGATCATCTGCAGAGCGCAGGAAAGGGGGACGAGATGGAAATGGCGAGATGGGCAGAGTACAGGTTTAATAATAAGCGGAGCGATAAATAAATGAAGCGCCTGGGGGTGTGTGTTTCGAATGGAGACGGAGGATCAAGGAGAAGAAAATCTTTATTTCCCCCCTCCCCACATTTTGTTTGGGGGTGGGCGGGTGGGCACAACCCTGTAAAAGGAGAGGCTCCCAAAACCCACATGCTAGAAATAAGGGGGGGAAATGGGCTCTTCTCCAAATATTTCCTTTGCAATCTACAGAGGTGAATTTAGAAGCATGCTCTTAAAATGGGCTACGGTATTAATTCTTGAGCGCATGGAAGGGGGAGTCCTTTGGGGGTTGGGACTCTCCCCCCAAAACCCTCTGGTCTGCCTCTGCATTCTTCGGTTGGAGACCTACTCTCCAGAGCCGGTGGCAGACTCAGACAGTGAGGAGGTTGGGGAGGAACATGGGCCAGTCCTGGAGCCTGGGGAGGGCTCTGATGAGGGCTCTGCACCGGAAGCAGAGAGAGGGCCAGGGCCGTCAGTTGTCAGCTGCCTTTGGAGTCGGGCATCAGTGAGACAGAAGGACAGCTGGAGCCTGTTCCCAACGTGAGCTGCCAGGAGAAGGGAACAGCTAAAGAACAAGGGTCGACTCAGGAGTAAAGCCACAGGTGGACGATGAACGGCCCCTCCCAGAGGGAAATAAAAGAGGAGTGAAAGGGGAGTTTGCAGGAGACAATTAGTTCATCTAATTGGTTCGTGACTCTCCGAGACTCCTTGCCAAGTTTTGAAGATATCGCCCTGGCCGCTCTCCAAGCCAGATAAAGTCTGTGACTGTCAATCCTCCCTTGAAAGACTTTGCTGGATGTGAATGAGAGAGGAATTCACAGTCACTTAATAAAAAGGTTTTTTTTTGTTGTTGTTGGGAGAAGGAGCCTGCTTCTTCAGCTGAACCTGAAGATCTTCTCATGATGGTCTAGAAATCTAAGTGGGGAGACCTAGAAGTACGGGGGTTTAATCAACCTGCCCCCCCAGAAAGGGGAGGAAAAGGGTGAGAGAGAAGGACCAGGGGAGAAGCCAAAGAACCTTGGGAATGGTTGATGAGCACCAGAATGAACAAGAAACACACCTATGCACACATCCACCATGTCACACGTTGGGGCTGGAGATCACTTTTAACATCCAATTTTTGAGACGGGACAGGAACATAAATTCTCCCCCATCCAGTGTGAAGCAGGGTGGTGCAGACAGTCTAGATCAGGGGTCCCCAACCTTTCGGACCCCAAAATTCGTCATAATCCCACGGACCGCTAATACGATCTGCCTAATGACCAGCTGGGTGGGCGTGGCTCGGTGGGCATGTGACTGGGTGGGCGTGGCCAACTCGATGTCACTCACGTCGAGGGGTGCTTCGCCGGCCGCCCCCTACTCGCCCCTTCCCTGCCCGCTTATTAAAATAAATTCAATAAAAATCAAAAAATCCGATTTAAATAAAAAAAAAATCCGATTTAAATCAAAAAAATCTTGATTTTTTTTTTATTTTTTTGAAAAAAAATCATTGATTTTTATCCACCCTGCTCCTGGGAAGGAGGGCGGTGGGCTGAGAGGTGCAGCTCCACCTGGCTCTACTTCAACCTGATTTCAGGCAGAAATGTTTCTCCCCCCCCCCTTTTTTTTTCTTCTCAGAAATGCCAAGACGACGCTGACATTCAGGATTGGCCTAAGCGCAAAACGAGGGTTTGGCCGTGAAGTTTGGGACCGGATGACCGTTTCCCTCCAGTCTCAGGATTTTATTCCCCAAAAGCTCCCGATGAAGGGAAGGTTTGGGCCAACTGGAAAACAAAAGCAGGGAAAAGCCAGGAACTGGAACAGCCGTCCGAAAAAGGGAACGGGATAAACGAGTTTTGGGAGCGAGGGGACTTTTCAACGTTTCGCCAATCCCGGAGAGAAAGCATTTTGAGAGTTGGCACGCGGAGATGCCAAGGGTGCCAGCCGTTGCCCGCTCTGGCCTCTGGCGTCAGTCTATTCTGGGCAACCGGCACCGAGCGCTGGCATGCCAAGCCTCTGCCATCTGCTACTGAGAATTGGGCACCATGCCAGACTCTTTTAGCTGCGGAGCATTTGGGGGGGGGAGAGAGGGGGAAACGGAGGGGAGGGAAGGGAAGGGAGGATGGATGGAGGGACGGGGGTTTGGCTCGGAGGTGCCTCTCCTGCGGTGCAGGGCAAAATTCGAACTCTTAAAAAGTGTTGGATCCTGCAAATAATTTTCTGGAATTACCTGTATATATATATATATATATATCCTCTGGAGGGGTTTTGTTTTGGGAGTTTCGGGGCTGAGGGTGGGAATATTCACTGAGACACCCCCGACGATGCCCCTCTCTGGGGGTGAAATGTAAAATTTGTTACTACCGGTTCTGTGGGCGTGGCTTGTGGGGGGGGGGTAATGTGACTGGGTGGGCGTGGCCAACTTTAAAAAAAAACTTTTCAAAGTATTTTTTCTAATGCTTTGAAAAGCCTCTCTGCCGATCAGGCAACTCAGCTGGGATCGTCAGAGACTTTTCAAAGCATTTTTTTTTACCACCTCTTCGGCCAAGAGGTTGCAGAAAAAAAATGCTTTGAAAAGCCTCTGACGATCCCAGCTGAGCCACGCGGGATCATCAGATGCTTTTTTTTTTTTTTTTACTTTTAAAAGCATTTTTTCGTCGGAAGAGGTGGTAGAAAAAAATGCTTTTAAAAGTAAAACAAAAAAGCCTCTGATGATTGTGCGGCTCAGCTGGGCATGGTGGGGGGGGCGCAGGGATTTTTGCTACCGGTTCTCCGAACCACCCGTCACCATCGCTACCGGATCGGGCAATCCGGTCCAAACCAGGAGCATTTCACCCCTGCCCCTCCCCCACCAGCTTTGATCTTTGATCCCCCACCATAGAGTCTCCTCCTAGCGCAGCGTCCTTTTTCCTCTACCTGTCCTAACCGAAAGCCCTATCAATTGTGGAGCCGACTGGCGACAGGGAGCTGCAGCAGAGGGATGAAAGAGCCACATGCGGCTCCAGAGCCACACGGGTTGCCAACTCCTGTCATAAGTTCACAACCGGTTCGCCTAGTGCAAAACTGAAAATGTCAGCGTGTGTGCGCGCGGCTTCAAACACATGGTGATTTCATGCGTGTGGCTTGCAGGGCACCTTCTCGGACAGCCGCGGTTGAGTAGAGCGGGAGAGGCGCGGGAATCAGCTGGGTTGCATGGGCGGGGCAAGGGAGCCAGAGAGTGAGATATATAGGATGGGACAGCGCCGGGTTGGGTGGACAGGCCCAGCCGGTGGTTGGAACTACCGGTTCGGCCTAAACTGGACCGAACCGGCAGCAGCTCACCCCTGCCTGTACCTGAATGGGTGGGGGTCTTGTTGCTTTTGTTTTTTTCTAATGTTCAAGAGAAATTTAAAGATTATCTTGGGGGGTTTCAGGAACTCTGTAAGGGATGGCCTGATCCCCTTCCATGCTGCACATGGAAAGCTGCAAGGAAGCCTCTTAATTCTTTACCGTCTGAGTCGCTCAGGTTCTCTTCGTCTCCTTCCTCTCCCTCATCGTCCACTTCGTATTGTCCTTCCTCCTCCTCTTCCTCCTCCTCACTGCTGCTCACGGAAACACGGTCTGCAGCCCCCTTCTTGCCTTTCCCTGCACCGAGGAAACAAAAACGGTCCTACGTAAACCAAGTTTCTCAAATTGCAGCCATAGCTCAGTGAAATCACATCCACTATTCTAGGCTTCTTCAGACAGCAAGCATGCATTTTGCTGCCTATTGGGAGACTAATATAGATCTATTTCGGACTGATTGGTCCTCATCAGTTAGCCACACCCTTACCGTATGTTCCCTTCCCATAGAGACTAAGTATTTGCTTTCTTCTCTTATCGTAGGTTTTTGTATGTATTGTTCTTCAACTGGGTATTTTCCTACGTAAACCAAGTTTCCGTAAACACACACACACACACACATATATATATGTATGTAGGTCTTTGATTATTCGGGTTTTCTCCCGCATAAAATTGGAGGTTTCTTGGCAACGTTTCGACGAAGTTGCCAAGAAACTTCCAATTTTACGGGGGAGAAAACCCGAATAACCAAAGACCTACATACAAACACCCGTGAAAACCTCAGTGTGTATGTATATATATATATATGTGTGTGTGTGTGTGTGTGTGTGTGTGTGTGTGTGTATATATATATATATATATATATCTATCTTTAAATAAAGGTACGATTTATTGCAACCTGAAGCTTGTGTCCAATTGAGCATTGGGGAGAAGCTGCACATAGGAGATGTGGCTCCCCAGATTTTTATTTCAAAATTTTCCTACCTTTTCTCAGTTAGAAAAGGCAGGAAATTGAACCCCAACACCTTCCACGCCCAGCCAGCAAAGCAGGAGTTGAAATTAATCAAGCCACGATTGCAGCCGACGGCTAAATCAGAGCACCGTAAACCTTTTAACGTTGAGATTATAACCTGTGAGTTGCTTTCAATTTTCTCCTGACTGTGGAGTCCCCTTACATAAATGTGACATCGTTATATATATATATTTAATTTATTTTTATTCTGTCGATATAGCCGCCTATCTCATACCAGTCACTATAGACAGAAAAACGGGGTTACAAGATTGGAAACAAGAGAATTGCCAAGAAGCAGATTCGAAGATTAGTTCTCCGCATCGGTTCTGGTTTTAGTTTAAAAAACACAGAAAAAGCAAGTTTCCAGTCCTTATGAAATGTGTACACCAAAGAAAGGGAGGCCAGAAAAGGTTTGTCAAAAGGGAAAGTGATAAAATGCCCCCAGCGCTTGAGAAATAAAGCTCTAAGAACACCTAAACCAATTTCCGAACTTCTTAGGGACTAGATGCTTATTTTGTCCTATTTTAAAAAACTAGGAGGGGGAGGGAAACGGCCTCTTGGATCAGGTTCTGTTCTTCCACCTTGGCCAAGAAAGACCAAAAAAAATGGACACCAAGATCCTGCGGATTATTTATGGAACTTTTCTGCTCTTCTTCCGCGCGATTTATCTACCGTCAGCCTCTTCAATATAAACTACTTATTTTGATTTATTTACAACAATTTTGAGTCCCTTCATTTTTGTAGAAGTGAACTTAATCATGGTTTATGAGGGGATGTGACACAGCAAGTTGCCCAAGCTGCATTTATCTTTGCTTTTAAGGAAATATATATGCCTCTGCACCACAGCAGGGCGGACGGATGCTTTTGCCCTCCCCAGGTTCCAGAGGTTTTCCTTGAGCCTCCGGGAAGGTGGAAATGGCCTCCCCAGGCGCCAGAAGCCCTCTGGAGGCCAGAAACGGGCCCAAACTTCCGGTAGGCTGGTTTTTGGCCCTCCCCGAACCTCTGCGCCCACCCTGCACTTCCCTGCATCTAAAACGGGCCACGTGGGGACTCCTGGGAGGGGCGGGGCAGAGTGGGCGGGGCCAGCCAGAAGTGGGATTCGGGGGTTCTCCGAACTGCACAGAATCTTAGCTAGGGGTTCTCCCGAACCCGTTGCGAACCCCCAGCAACCCCACCCCTGATAAGGAGTCAATAAAACGAAGTTAACCTGCTTCTCATTCCTTCTGTTCACACATTCAGATGAAAATTCAGATGAAAAAAAATCGATTTCTTACTCCAGTGCAAACCTACAAGCTGGGGATTTGCACCGCTTGTATAAAAATATGTTAAGTTTTTTTTCTGGATATTTTTGAAACTGGATCAGCAGGATTTTTTTTTAAAAAAATAAAACAACTATCACAACTCTTTTTAAATAACAATTTAAAGCAGTGCAAGTTTCATTTTGTCATTGCAATTTATACACCCCAACCCCTTTTCTACCTTAGATGGAGGCAGTCCAAGCGATATAAATGAAATGAAAATAAACTCAAGCAAAAATAAATAAAAGCAGAAAAATAAAAACCATTAAGATGTCTGCATTTATTTCTTCTCTGCTTTCCCTTAGAGCCAGCCTAGCAATCCTACCAAAGCAGGAGAAATCGTAGAAAAGAACTAGAAAAAATCAAAAATGCAAATAAATGCTATTTAAAAATAAGCCAAATTCTCTGGTTTCCTAGCTGGGCTAGAGGTTTTCATTTTATGATTCTCGGCTGCTGGGTGTTTTATGCCTCGTTTTATTTTGCATTTGAATGTATTGTTGCTCTGGGCTGCCCGAAGTCATAAACTGAGACTGGCAGTTATATAAATCAATTTAATAAACCAATCTTTGGCATCCTTCCAAGAGGTGGGGAATGATGGCCCCTTTAGGATTTGTGGACTTCAACTCCCAGAATCCCCGAGCGTTTTTTGGACTTCAACTCCCAGAATCCCCGAGTGTTTGTGGACTTCAATTCCCAGAATCCCTGAGTGTTTGTGGATTTCAACTCCCAGAATCCCTGAGTGTTTATGGACTTCAACTCCCAGAATCCCTGAGTGTTTTTTGGACTTCAATTCCCAGAATCCCTGAGTGTTTGTGGATTTCAACTCCCAGAATCCCTGAGTGTTTGTGGACTTCAACTCCCAGAATCCCTGAGTGTTTGTGGACTTCAACTCCCAGAATCCCCAAGCCGTTGTGGACTTCAACTCCCAGAATCCCTGAGTGTTTGTGGACTTCAACTCCCAGAATCCCTGAGTGTTTGTGGACTTCAACTCCCAGAATCCCTGAGTGTTTGTGGACTTCAACTCCCAGAATCCCCAAGCGGTTGTGGACTTCAACTCCCAGAATCCCTGAGTGTTTGTGGACTTCAACTCCCAGAATCCCTGAGTGTTTGTGGACTTCAACTCCAGAATCCCTGAGTGTTTGTGGACTTCAACTCCCAGAATCCCTGAGTGTTTGTGGACTTCAACTCCCAGAATCCCTGAGTGTTTGTGGACTTCAACTCCCAGAATCCCCAAGCGGTTGTGGACTTCAACTCCCAGAATCCCTGAGTGTTTGTGGACTTCAACTCCCAGAATCCCTGAGTGTTTGTGGACTTCAACTCCCAGAATCCCTGAGTGTTTGTGGACTTCAACTCCCAGAATCCCTGAGCGTTTGTGGACTTCAACTCCCAGAATCCCTGAGTGTTCTCAGGAATTCTGGGAGTTGAAGTCCCCAAATCCAAACGGGGCCATCGTTTCCCACCTTTGCCATAGGGTGACAGCAGCCATAGGAAATAATATTTTTGGAAGTGGCGCTTCCCTCTCTCGGCTTCACAGATTCTGGGGGGGTTCAGGGAATTCTAGCAGATTAAAATATCTTGCCTGGCTTTGGCAGTGCCCGGGTTGCCAGGGGGCTCCAATTTCCTGCTGTCTGGGACTCCAAACCTCCTTTTTTTCAGGCACCCCCATTATCGGCACGAAATGCAAGATGAACGGAGTGGGAAACTCTCCGAGAGCAGGACCAGGAGAGGCAGAACAAAACCCTTTTGTGTTTTACCCATCTATTGTGTGTTGTGATTGTGTGTGTGTGCTCAGCAGCTGCTGCTGATTGGCACCAACGCGCTCTGCAAGTCAGCCCCAGAATCCACAGGGCACAGAACGAAGGTGCTTGTTTCTTTCAGCTCCGGTCTGAGGGTGTACCGGTAGCAGAGATCGCGGGGGCGGGGAACGGGGAAACATCCACCTGCCACGGCTCTATGTCGTCCTATTTAGGCACGTTTTTGAGGCAGGGCGCATGAACGGAAGCTGCACAGGTGCATGAGGCGAGCGGCGAACTGGTGGTAACAAAACATGAAACCCACTGCTGGTGTGTGCCTAGATCAGGGGTCAGCAACCTGCGGCTCTGGAGCTGCATGCGGCTCTTTGGGCCCTCTGCTGTGGCTCCCTGTCGGGTGACCCCTAGCTGGCCCCACCCTTTGCCCTCCTCTCTCAGTCACTCCTTGCCTGGCCTGAGAAGGTAAGGGTGACGGCGGGGGATGGAGAAGCGGCCAGGGCAGAGAAAGAGAGATACAGAGAGAGGGGGAGAGAGAGAGACATAGATACAGAGGGAGAGGGAGAGGGAGGGAGGGAGGGAGGGGAGAGAGAGAGATGTCAAAAGGGTTTTGTGGTTCCTGGTGTTTTTTAACAATTGGTTCTCTGCCCTAATGACCGGCTGGATAGGCGTGGCTTTGGGGGGGGTGTCATGTGACTGGTGGAAGTGAGCGACATTGAGTTGGCCACACCCACCCAAGTTTTGTGGCTCCCGGTGTTTTCTTTTCTGTGAGAAACGGGTCTAAATGGCTCTTTGAGTGCTTAAGGTTGCAGACCCCTGTCCTAGGCTGATTGCACTATCTATTATCCCCAGCTACCCCCTTCCTCGCCTCCCCCTGCCCCGTTGTGCCCGTAGACATTTAGGGGAAGGGGATGCAGAACTGGGCGAATTACTCTAGAAAACGAGCACATCCAACCAGCCCTGGCAAACCCAGTGGGATCACAACAACGGAGCCCCATCAAGATTTCTTCTGTTTCCCCCACCCCCACCACACTCTGCTCTCTTCCCACCCCGCCACCCCCTCTCCGATCGGTGTAATGTGATTACGGGCTGGAAAGCCGCTAAAGTTCATTAGACGTGCGCCGTGGCTTAATGTGGACAGATCGCTCATTACGGGCCAGGGTCTTGGGAGACGAGAGTGTCAGCCAAGCGGTTTCTCCCCCCCTCCCAAGCTTTAATTGCCTCCTGACACGGCCATCCACCATC